AATATACAAGAATATAATGTAAATTGATATTTTCTTTGTTTGGTATCAAAAAATGAGTATAACCAAATTATCTTATTAATTAATTATAAGATATTCATTTATGTTACTAGTTAAAATCTTTTTAGATTTATTGATTCTTAATATTCATTGTTAAATAGAAATCATCACTCTAATTGATAATTAAAGTTCCATGATTCATTTCAAAATTAGTTTTTCCATATATTTCTTCCATAGTTGGGTTTGTAAGGCTTTATCGATTATTTTCTTATCCTGGGTATTTTTTATTTTAATCTATTAGTTCATTAACATTTCTGATTTCAGGTGTAAATTTTGTAAATCTAGTGAATTATTAGTATATACTTGTAAGAATTTAATTTTTCAATAATGTTTTCACACTGAGGACATTATTAATAAATTGCATATATACAACAGGCTCCTATTTGATGCAATGAACAACTTATATCTTATTTTATATTATAGTCATCAAAACAAGTATGGCAATATGTACATTTGTCACTAATATAAAAACATTAACTATATTCTTTAAATTATTGGGATGGTTCGAAAGCTAAATTTTCAATTCCACTTATTAAATTAAAAGATTTTGATGGTTCCTCTTAAAAATGATCATTAGTTTATTGATTCTATTTCTCTGGTTTTTACTTAATAATCACATCCCAATCATTGCTATTATTCTGTTAACTAGAATATTATCTGTTTTGTAAATCACTATTATATCAATAAAAATTACTTTGCTAAGTATCCATCTGATTTTAATAATTCATACTAATTATTTTATCTGTTTACTTAATTTCGAACCTTATCATTAGAAATCTCTTCCATTTAAACAGGATCGTTTACTATTTCTTATTCTTCTTTCAACTGATCTTCTACTAAAATGGACTCGTAATATTTATTTATTGATGTTATATAATTATTTATTACTTAATTGTTTTTTATCTCTTCTATTGCATCTTCCAAAAACTTATTCTTTAAAATTATCTAATCACAATTACAAAGGAAGTATTCATTTTAAGAATTTTATTTTGAAAATTATATACATTTCAAGCACAAGTAATGAAGACAATTCATTTTGAAACAATTTTCAATTTGATTACATATATTACATTCTTATTGAGGTTAATTTCGAAATTAGGGAGAAGGTAAAATAAAATAAAAGCTATTAGACTTTTATAATATTAAAATTTCATTCTATCCTGAACCATATTTTTTTTTATTATGTAAAAATATGATCTTTGTTTAGAAAAAAAGTGCCAAACCATTTAAATTTGGTTTATCTTATTTCTTTAATAGATGTATTCTACAAAGTTCAACGAAAAATTATCCAATTTCACTTATATTCCTTTATTTTTAGGATACATAATCAAAAAATTATTAAATTGGATTAATTGCTTCTAAACTTTGAATAATTATTTTGTGTAATTAACTAAATTCAGCTTTTTAGCATTTATCTGTTATATTCAAAAATCTCAAAATAGGCCTAAAATTTTTCTAGTTCAAAAAATAATGGATTATTGAGCAAAAAAGAGCAATATTTTGATCGTCTCCTAAATTTTACCAATATTGAGCTTTTTCTAATTCAGAATATTGAGATTTAATAGAATTTGGAATTAAGCTAGTTGAAAGCATTAATTGTATAATAAAAAAAAGTTTCTATATAAATTAATTTGTTCTTTTATTTTATGATTATCAAAAAAGGTTAAGGATTTTGTATTCTGGCTTGATTTTCTAATTTTACTCTTATTAAGAATATATTTAAAATAGATATAAAATACTATTGTTCTAACTTTATAATTTCATAATATAAAACATTTTTTTTTTTTAAATTATATAATTTTTCTTTTCTGTATTTTTCTAATCATTGATAATTCTAACATTTAATTATTATGAAAAAAATTGTCAAGGAGATGTTATTTTAAAGGGAGCTATTATCTGTTTACAATATAATAATTAGCTCGGAATTTTTGAGTTTTAAAAAACTAAATGAATAAATATTAGAATAAAAAAAATATTGGAGATACTAAAAATCATAATTTTAATTAAAAGAAAACAATAATTTGTTGAAATTAAGTTAGAACAAGAATAATTATGATTTATAAAATAAAAATACCTATTAGAAACAAAAAAAATAAAAAAAAAATAGAAATTATTGGAACAATTAAAATAGAGGAAATCTAAAATAAAATTCTATGAGTCATTTGTTTTAACAACCGATATATTTTAAAAGATTTCAAAATTTACATATTTTTAAGTTTTGTTTTTATATATTTAAAATAAGTTCAGTTTATTTAGTTTCCAAAATAGTAATTGAAAAAGTTGAAATATGTACTTATATCATTAATATTTTTATCATATTAAATTAGAATTTGGATGCAGAGAATAATTCACTAATTAATTGTTTTTGTAAAAGCTTCTTTTTTTTAAAATCATTGAATCAAATGAATAATAAGAAATAAGTTTAGAAATTATAAAGTGTTTAATATGAATTGATTGAAAAAAAAATAAATCTGAAAAATTGAATCTATCTTCTAAAAATAGAATTAAATTTATAAAATTAAAAATGTTTTCTTTTAACTCATAATATTTCATTATTAAATCTTTGAGATTGTAAATTTTGGTAATAGCTGCTAGTGAATTATATATGATTAATAATATATAAAATAGCTTAGAATGATTATGATTATGGAGAATAGGGTAAAAGAAATAATTATCATCTAAAAAATGAGTTAATTCTGGTGGATGAATTAATATTTCATAATGTAAGTTATATTAAGATCTAAGTGAATAGATTAAAAAGATTAATTAATAAAATAAAGATATTATATAGGATATTTAATCATATATAAGATTATTGATTAATAGATTAGATAGAGCATGAAAGAATGGAAATATAGAATTTGATTAGATTAAGATTTTCTTAATAAAGTATTTTATGTATTGAAGGATGAGATATGTGAAATCTAATTAAAAAATATAAAAATATATTGAAAAAAAAGTATCTTTAAATAGAGAGAGATATTATGATTATGATAAATGTCATAAAAGGGATTGATGATAGATAAGTATTAATTATTTAACTGTCAGATAAAAATAGAATGAGTATTTAGAGTATACAATAAATTAATTTAAATAAAGGATTGATATAATAATTAATGAATAAGCTAACAGAGCTTTTAATTGATTAAGAAGAAAAATAATCAAACTTTATTACGCAATATTGCAAACCTTTAAGAATTCTAGGAAGAGGAGGGTTTTCGACAGTAGTAGAGATACAAAATTTGATGACAAATAAGAAGGCTGCGCTTAAAATAATGGAGAAATAAAAGTTCAATAGTTTACAATTAGAGGTTCTTAGAAAGGAAGCCCAATTGTTAAGTTAATTGAATCATTAAAATATTGTAAGAGTTACATTTGTATGATTGCTTTGTGTTATTGTAGAGTAAAGAAACGAAAAATAAATTATTTATAATGATGGATCTCATCACAGGAGTTACATTGGAATAATTTTAATAAAGCAAGTTAGATGATTAGATAGTACTTAGTATTGTAAAATAATTATTACAGGCAATAAAATATTTGCATTCTAAGGATATAATACATAGAGACATAAAACCAGGTAAAATAAATTAATTTTTAGAGAATATTATGATAACTTAAATAGGAGAAGATGTTCGTTTAACTTTAATTGATTTTGGACTTTCAGCATAATTGACTTATATGGAAGGTTCTGGAATCATGAGTGATAATTGTGGAACTTTCTTGTACATGGCTCCAGAAATGATATAGAAAAAGAAATACAATAGAGTAAAATCACATGCTTAAATAGTAAGAGTGTGGATATATGGGCAATAGGGATAGTGGTTTTCAATCTTTTAACTTAAGGAAAACATCCTTTTTACCAGTAATTTGATGATAAAGAATCCTATTGTGAAAAGATATAGTGGATGAAATGGAATTGGTAACCTGGAATGAATAATAATTCTATCAATTTCTTAATTAGAACAGTAGCATACTTACCAGAAAATCGATTAAATATCATTTAATGTTTAGAACATCCTTGGATTACAGGTAAGGAAGATTCTTCTGAACCATTTACTTTTATCGAAATCCTTAAAAGTCATTGTAATTTTTAAAAAATAAAATCACTGATCTAAGCTATTCAATTTATTCAAAAACTTAAAATCTTATGTCCTAATGTTAATTAATTTAAACATTATTCAACTCCTAAAGAACCTAATATTATTATAAAAATACCTAAGATAAAATAACAATCTAATGAGAAATATAAACAATTCAAATAAGAAGCTCTTCATGGATCTAATGTTGATAGTGCTTCTATTGGTTCTAATAGAGTTTCTTAATTTAAAATTTAAACAATTACTCTTAAATCTTAAAGAAGAGAAAGGACTTCTTGTGATTAATTATAAAAGTTATAAGAACAAAAAGAACCTTCTAAATTTTTATTTCCTCATTTTCCCAGATCATTGGAAAGAAGTGTTAAATCAATTCAAACTACTAACACTACTGCTGATAATTCTTTAAATCAATCATCTATTCTTCAAAAATCTGGTATCATAGATAGTAGACATTCATTAAATAATAAATCAACTCTTTAATAAGTAAATACAATTTAAGATAATTAGTTAAAGAGAACTACTCACGTATCCAGAGGTTAGAATATTATTATACAATAAGAATTGTTACAAAGTTAAAGGGTGAGAATTAAGAAACCTCCCATCTAAAAAAAGTCTTTAAATGATTGAACAGAAATATATACTGTATATATATTTAATAATTGTTAATTTATCAATTAANTTAGATGATTAGATAGTACTTAGTATTGTAAAATAATTATTACAGGCAATAAAATATTTGCATTCTAAGGATATAATACATAGAGACATAAAACCAGGTAAAATAAATTAATTTTTAGAGAATATTATGATAACTTAAATAGGAGAAGATGTTCGTTTAACTTTAATTGATTTTGGACTTTCAGCATAATTGACTTATATGGAAGGTTCTGGAATCATGAGTGATAATTGTGGAACTTTCTTGTACATGGCTCCAGAAATGATATAGAAAAAGAAATACAATAGAGTAAAATCACATGCTTAAATAGTAAGAGTGTGGATATATGGGCAATAGGGATAGTGGTTTTCAATCTTTTAACTTAAGGAAAACATCCTTTTTACCAGTAATTTGATGATAAAGAATCCTATTGTGAAAAGATATAGTGGATGAAATGGAATTGGTAACCTGGAATGAATAATAATTCTATCAATTTCTTAATTAGAACAGTAGCATACTTACCAGAAAATCGATTAAATATCATTTAATGTTTAGAACATCCTTGGATTACAGGTAAGGAAGATTCTTCTGAACCATTTACTTTTATCGAAATCCTTAAAAGTCATTGTAATTTTTAAAAAATAAAATCACTGATCTAAGCTATTCAATTTATTCAAAAACTTAAAATCTTATGTCCTAATGTTAATTAATTTAAACATTATTCAACTCCTAAAGAACCTAATATTATTATAAAAATACCTAAGATAAAATAACAATCTAATGAGAAATATAAACAATTCAAATAAGAAGCTCTTCATGGATCTAATGTTGATAGTGCTTCTATTGGTTCTAATAGAGTTTCTTAATTTAAAATTTAAACAATTACTCTTAAATCTTAAAGAAGAGAAAGGACTTCTTGTGATTAATTATAAAAGTTATAAGAACAAAAAGAACCTTCTAAATTTTTATTTCCTCATTTTCCCAGATCATTGGAAAGAAGTGTTAAATCAATTCAAACTACTAACACTACTGCTGATAATTCTTTAAATCAATCATCTATTCTTCAAAAATCTGGTATCATAGATAGTAGACATTCATTAAATAATAAATCAACTCTTTAATAAGTAAATACAATTTAAGATAATTAGTTAAAGAGAACTACTCACGTATCCAGAGGTTAGAATATTATTATACAATAAGAATTGTTACAAAGTTAAAGGGTGAGAATTAAGAAACCTCCCATCTAAAAAAAGTCTTTAAATGATTGAACAGAAATATATACTGTATATATATTTAATAATTGTTAATTTATCAATTAATTATAATTTAAAATGTCATATATTTAATTACTTAAACAGGTAATGAATGATGAAAGTGATTACTCATTTGAATTGAATAGATATGAACCAAAATAAATGTTAGGAAAAGGAGCTTTTGCAACTGTTATTTCTGCTTTTGATTATGTAATGAGAACTAATGTGGCCATTAAAATAGTTGAAAAAAAGATGTTTAAAAGTAAAGAATAAGAGGATGCTATACGTCAGGAAGCAATGACACTTTAAACTCTATTCCATCGAAATATAATTTAGATATTAGACGTATAATAATTATTCTATAACATAACTTAAGTTTATTGAGACAAAGCAAAAGTTTTACATAGTAATGAATCAAGTAGATGGTGTAACACTAGAAAATTATATACCAAAGCTCTAGCAAAATGAAGTTATTCCAATAACGAAGCAAATTCTAAATGCTTTGAGTTATTTACATTAAAAAAACATAGTTCATAGAGACATAAAGCCTGAGAATATATTAATAAGTGTATCTGGAGGAGAATTATTAGTAATCTTGATAGATTTTGGTTTATCAGCATCTGTAAATAGAATAGAGGAAGGTTTGATGAATAAAAATTGTGGTACTTTATTGTATTAAGCACCTGAATTGATAAAAAAAACTAGTTATACAAGAGTAATAATAAAAATATATGTTAATAGTCGGTTGATATTTGGGCTTTAGGAATAGTTGTCTATAATATGCTTTACAATGGAGAACATCCCTTGTATAAAAATGGAGATACTAAGATAAAATATGCTGATAAAATTAAGAGTTTTTCACTGAACTTTAAAATGAATGAGGATTAGAATGCAAAGAATTTCTTAGAAAGAACGATAGCATATTTACCAGAATATCGTTTAACAGCTGATTAATGTTTGGAACATCCTTGGATTACAGGTAAGGGTGATATTTCAATACCTTTTACATTGAATGAAATAATTTAATGTTAAGTCAAAAAAGAATAGAAAATAGCTAAGTTTATAAAGATGTTTGTTTTTATGAGATATTTGATTATTAGATAAAATGATATGAAAACAGATGAGATAAATGAAATTGGATCATCTAAAGATAATGTATCGATGATAGGATCAGAATTATCAATGTCTTAAAATAGTTTTAGGATACGTCCATTATTAATGATTAAATCTTAGACTAAATTTAATAAATTATGGAATAATAATAATAATGATAGTTCTACTAGTAATTCATTTGTTGGAAATAGTAGTAGAAATACAACAGATATGATACCTGAGATATAAGTAAATAAACCTAGTTTTGTAAAGAAATAATTGAGGAAAAGTAATTCTATAAATCCTGAAGAGATGATTAATAAATTGATAAGAAATTAGAATTGTCTATAGAAGGTATAAATAAAATTTTAAATATAAAGGAAATATAATAGAAGAATAGGAGAGTAATTTAAAAGGACAATAAAATTAGTAAAAAAGTATTGACTGAACCTCAAGATTAATTGAGTAGAGTAATAGACTCACATTAAGTAGTTAATAGATTTCGAAATATGTAAAGATAAAATTTTTGTAAAAAACTTGCGTAATTGTGATTTTAGTATATTATTAATATTATGCTCAAATTTTTCAGATAGGCTAATTTATTTAAGCCTTAGTTCATGAGAAGATACGATTAAGCAAATTCTCCTCTTCATTTAGCACTAGGTGATACATCTGAATTGAGAACAAAGCTATTTCCAGAGAAGAGGAGAATCCCAGGAAGAAAAGGGAAAATAATAATAGCAATTGGTATATTATTTTAAGTGTGGGGCATAATGCATATAGTGGAAGTGAGAAGACAATTCAGGTATAGTTGAATAGTTAAATAAAATAGACGAAAAGAGATGGAATTGAAAAAGATGTAGAGAAAATCATTACCATTTTATTAAGCCATGTAAGATATCAGATATTTGGCTGCAGAAGATAAGAGAAACATATTGATAGAAGAATTGTTTGCTGATCATGGATCGGATTACATTAAATAGATAACAGACATCTATTTCTAAAAGGATATATGGTATAATATGTAGATTTAGAATATAGGGTTCCATTTAAGAAAAGATCTGCTCATTAATATACAAGAGCAACAAAAGATCCATATCCATATTTCGATATTCCAGGATCACGTTTCTTACACGGCTACGACGTATACAACATTTGATTTAAATATCATAAATATTAAATAAATAAACAAAATGTTAAGGATAATCATTGCATCATTACTTGTATCATTAGTAATTTCTAATACTACTAAACCAACTATTGGCATTTTAACTAATCCCTCAGATTTAAAGGATTATGATAAATCACTCTATTCTTATTTCCCTTCTAGTTATGTGAAATGGATTGAATAAGCTGGAGCTAGAGTCATACCTATTCATTGGGATAGTTCTTATGATGAATTAACTGTTATACTTAATTAAATTAATGGAGTCCTCTTTACTGGAGGAGATGTTGATTTATATTTAAATAATACTCAACCAGGATTCACTTTTAATAAATTTACTGATACAGCATCATTCATATTTTAAAAAGTTATTCAATTTAATAAAGCTGGTTAATTCTATCCTTTATTAGGTATATGTTAAGGCTTTTAATTAATTAATTACATTGCTTCATCTTATTATGAAGTCTTAACTAGAATGACTGATGATTTAGGACAATAGAGATTACTTGAAATTGTTCCTGATGAAGAATCTTTTGTTTTGAAATCCATTGATTCAATCACATTAGATTATCTTCAAAATATTGGTATCTATAATTATTATAATAGATGGACCATATTATTCTCATAATTGGGGAGTAGTATAATAAACATATGAAAAAGCATATTCTTTAGGGGCATTCTTTAAAATCACTGCTTTTAGTAGAGATGGAATAGATTTAAAATATATTGCTATATGTGAGGCTAGAGATTTCCCTATTTATGGTTATCAATTCCATCCAGAAAAACATCAATTTGAATGGAAAACTAAAGCAACTCATGATGTCTAACATATTACCTATTCTTAATAATTAGCCATGGATTTCATTGCTATGTCTAGAAAAAATGATCATTCAATCTCAGATGAACAATTAGCCTCACTTATCATCTATAATTTTAAATAAATCAATCGAATGGAAGTTAGTTCTACTAGTTTTTCTTAAGTATATTTATTTGATAGAATTCGTAATGAAACCAAAACTGATCAATAAAAATTAGGCATTAATTAGAATATCAAATTCTTTCAGAAACATTATTGATTCTTTGGTTTCTATATTTAACATAAATATTAATATAATTATTATATGCTACATTCTATAATGCCTAAACAATTTCCATCTTAATCTTTTGTTACAAAAATATCTGAAGTTCACATATTATGAGTATCTTATATTTTACACTAGATAATATATAATTATGCAGTATAGCATAAAGCAAAAATAAAAATACCTAATAAAACAAAAAAAATTGAAGAAATCTAATTCAAAAAAATCTCCATCATTTCTAATTAGAAAGGAGACAAATTATATAGTTTCTAACTATTGAAGATTCAGTTTAATGGCAAAATTAATCATAATTCATCAATTTTTAATTTATAAAGTTCAAAATTTTTTTCTATAACTAAAGAATATACATGTTTATATATTTTTTATTTTTTATAAATATTTTTATATAATACCCTAAAATTAATCTTATTTTTTCTACTAAAAAGTTATTATCACTATTATAAGAATTATCAAGAAATATCAAAATAAAGACAATGATTATTAGGTTATAAAAAAGCCCCTGAAGAAACAAAGACGAACTAATAATTCATGAATTCTTAAGAAACAAACATTCATATTATTCTCTTTATTATATATTCCATATAGAATTAGGTTATAGTTATCAAAAATAAGATCTAGTTAATTTTTCATGGCCATTTATTTGAAATGCTCTTGCAATTAAAACAAAATAAAAAAGAAATAAAAAAGTTCTTGGGTTGATATTTCTTATAGAATACACATTCAAAATGAGATTTTCGTCTTCATATTTTTTGCAATCATAATTTTTCAATTTATAATTGTTTATTTTATTTTTATAAATAGATAAATATCATTAAATTTATTAAGTATTACGATCCTCTTTATCTTCTTTTTCGTCTTTTTCATTTTACAAGATCAATAATTCAAAATCTAAATCCTTATACTCTGCTTTTTATCCATCAACAACATCTTTTGATGTGATAACCATTAAATTTTAGCTTTTTGATTGTCTCATATTAAAATTTTATTAAGTTGACAATAGTACATCTTAATTTTTTTCATTGTTACTGAGGGGAACAATAGAACTTAATTTAATAGAATTATTTTCTTAATTTATGCTCATCTCCAATTTAACTGTATTACTAGGATCATCTTTTTAGTTTTCATGATTATTTATTTAAAATGGAATACCATGTTAATGAAATGAAATGATTTATTATGATGTAAAAATGGATTGTAGAATGAATTAAATTCTAGAAATTTCATAAATTTAATTAGATATAGATAATTTAGTCTCTCCAATTTTAACTAATTTTTAGTATTACTTTTTAAATATATTTAAATCTAAGAGTCTATCATTCTTTTTAACTTTAGTAATTTAACCAAATAAATTTTTAGTAATTTTAATTTAATTAAATTCTGGATAATACATAGTTATTACTTTATTAACAGCTTCAAATTGTAATTATTTTTAATTAATAATAACAACTAAATAAGATAGAAGAAATAGAGTTGATGCTATTGATCCAGCTTCAGCTAAGACTTCACTTAATTTTGGATAAGTGATAGTTTATTCTTATAAAATATTATCTAATTTATAATAGAGAGCTACATACAACTCTTTTCTTAAAATAGTATAGAAGTAATCTAATGCTAATACTGAATTACTTCCTCTATAATCTGTAATAAATTTATATTAATTAATATTTTCCAAAAGTGCTCCTGTATCAACAGAAGTTTCTTGGACTCTAATGTATGTCTAGACTTGAAAAGTGAAATTATTTTATATGGATATCATCTATTCTCTACCAATAGTTTCAACCATTTAAGTTGCTGTATTAAAATCCTTCATAAATTATCTTAAAACAATTGTATTAATTGGTTGCATAAAGTAATTACTAATAGTAGTTTTATTAGCACACTTCTAATTCCCTTGTAACAGTTATTCTTAACAAGTACCTAATGTAAGCATCATTTCAATTTCTGGATCCTGATTAGATTTACTATCACTTATTTTAAGCAAGAAATTAGCAACATTTACAGTATAAAATTATGATTTCAATTCGTAAGTTACATTTATTGCAATAGGTGGTTCAATAAGAAAACCATTTTTTAAATAGTATATTGCAGGTTATAATATAATTGCTTCAGGATTGAATGGATCAATTTAAGTAAATTCGAACTTTCGTGATTCAAATTATACATATGTTTCCTTTAATTCCAAAACTTAATTTCTTTGTACTTTTTGAGTTATTGTTATTTTTGGAAGTGACAATCCGCTTTACCATTAATAAAACACATAAAATAAATAAGCTAAACTTAGACCATATAGAACAATTGACATTATCCCTCCTAAAGCTGTTCTATGCTAGGTTTTTGAATATTTAAGTGTAGGTTAGAATGCTACTCCAAACTAATCTAAATTTTCCAAAAGTTTTAACATATTTCAATATTTTTTATATCAAGATAGAAAAAGGAATTTCTTAAAGTACAAGTTAAATTTCATCTTGAAATATTAATTAAAATTATATAATATGTATTTAAAATATAATATATGCAAATATAAATCAAGCCCAAAGCAAATAATTTGTAAAAAGAATCAACCCTCCTAAATTGAATTCCAATATATAAAATAATACCCACTTATTAAATTTACCATTCTTTTTATATATAAGATCAGCCAAACACCAATAAAAAGGAATTTAAGTACTGAAGAATCTAGTACTACAATTAATATGAGCTATCAAAGTAGATATTATGAATAACATTATTGTTGGCAACATTATAGAAATTCCTGGAATATCATTCTTTATTGTACATGATTTAGTTATCCATTTGTATAACCAAAAACCTTAAATTAAAATACCCTACATTCCCCAAAATAAAAAAAATAACTTCCTTATTTTATATGATGATAATAAACTTACATCCCAAAAGTTTTTCTAATTATTTATAAATATTTAATACTTATATATATCCATATGCATATGGTATTATACCTTTGCACCATTCCATTTCATTAAATTAACAATAATTCTTATATGGCAAATATAGCATTATCGAAATACTTATCAAATAAATGATTGCAATAGGAATTGCCTCTAAAATAGTTGCAATCACTTATTTAAATTTCTTATCTTTAACTTATATTATGGCCTTAACTAAATAAGGATAACCAGAAAAAAGAATGAAAAACATACCATTAGATCGTAGATGAACTGATAATGCAAAAGCAAATGAACTTAAATAAGGTTTTTGTTTGATTTGTAAATATATTCCAAGTAACACTAAAAATGCAAAATATGCTTCTGTATATAATGAGTTAAAAAATACAGATGCAGGTGTAAAAATAAATAATAAAGCTGACAAAAATGAGAATTTTTGATTATTATTTGAATAATGCATACTAATCCTATAAATTAACTCTGTTGAAATTGCATTGCATATTTTTTGTAAAATTAATAAGCATATTAAAGAATTTGAAAATAGTTTACCAAGTAATACTATTCCATATCCAAAGGCGTGATTTTTAAAGTATCTGTAATCATTTTCCATTATTTCCATAAAAAACAAACTATCCCATCTAATAGTATGTTTTAAAAAATTATTATCTGTCACTAACTCAGTAGATTTATCGTAGTCTTCTATCATTTAGTCAATTAAATAGCAGACAGGATGCCATAAAATAGATATCAATAAAGAGATTTATATTAATTTCATTATAATAAATATTCAATTTATAAGGGGAAGTTATAGGACTCATATAATAGTTTCTAATAAAATATATCTATAAATTACATTTTTTATTAGAAATGACTTCAAAAAGGGTACTAAAGTTTAGTTTTTGATCACTCTGTAACATATCTAATCTAATAATTCTGATGTAATCTGGTCAAAATTCCTATTAATTTATGTTTAAGATAACATCTCAATAACTTTAAAACAATAATAATCATTAGCCATTGATAAATATTGACAGATTTCTTTCAATTAGTAAGGATAATGGTATTTTGTGATAGACTTTAATATAGATATACAAATTTCTTCATTATTGCAATTGAGTAATTATTTACAAATATAATCCCAAACTACAATTAGTTATTCTTCATGAAAATACTACCAATTAGAAAATTAAAGAATTTCAAAAGCTAATTAACTATATTCTGTATTAAGTAATTAAAGAATGGAAATTGAAAGATCAGGTGATAATAATTCTTATTTTGATTTTATGAGTAAATTTAGACAACTTAATGCGGAAATCACATAAGTTAAATTGATTGATTATGACCATTTTTAAAGTTCATTGAAAATTAAATCTGCTTCTATATCGTTTAAATTTGGAACTTGAATTAAAAATAATTCTAGAAATTATAGAGTCATTGGATCATTAAAAGCCAAAAATTATTAAATTCCTATATCTTGAATCAATTTAATTAGGATAGGCTATTGGGCCATTTCCATCTAATGAATTAGAACTATTAAAATCAAAATAACATATGAAATATACTTAGACACTTAAAACATAATATCCAACATCCATTTGATATTAGATTGTATCTATAAAATTTTATACTAATAAATGATATAATTATGATAAGTTAACATTGTGACTCATGTTTATAATTTGTTAAATTGATTCCTAAAAATAAATCAAATTATTAGAATTACTTAATATTCTAATGAATCATAGTGTTGTTGAGTAAGAATTTATTCTAGCTTATCCAACTTGAAAACTAGAAGAGATGACATTCTATTTTGTTGAAATAGTTTATTGAGAACAATTTATCGTTGTTTTGCTCGAAATTACTACCTTTTTAACGCAATCATTAAATTAAATTTTTTTTTATTAATATTCATAATGTGTCTTATGTAAAATAACTATTATCAGCTATTTTGAAAGGTTAAGCCATTTATCTAAAGAAATCTCTAACTACAGTGATAGCAGTTTCGCTAGTAATATTTAAACATCTTGATTAATCTAATTATTTATAAATCCATCTTGGCATTTTTTATAATTTACTTTTTTAAGCAAATCGTTTATCAGCCATGATCATAATACCATAATCTTATTTACCTCTTAAAACTCTACCCAAACATTAACAAGTTTATCTCATAGCATCAAATTCTATAAAATCATTTTTAGTAATTTTAAATTTCTCTTCTAAAAATTTACATCTCTCTAATATCAATGTGTCTTTACTATTTAAAGCTGGAAATCCAATCACAGCAACACATCTTCCATAATGACCTTCAAAATCTATACCTTCTGCTATTTTACCTCTTGCAATTGAAAATAGTGCAGCACCTCTACCAACATCACAACATTAACGAAATTATTATAATTTTTATGATGTTTCATTTACATCTTTAGATTCTATAAACAATATTTTATTTTTTGATATTTATTCCAAATATTTATCTTTCTACCATTGTCGAGCCCATTCTTCCATTCTACTATAAGAAGGCATAAAAACTATAAGTCCATCAGGTACATTCTCAGATAATTCAAGCAAGAAATTCCCATAATTTCGAGATACATCTTCATTGTTTCTCAAAGTAAATTCTGAAGTTAATTCAGTACCATCTTCTGACATAGTAACAATAATAGGTTGAATAGAATTACGAGTTAATTCAATGTCAATAGATTTAGCAACAACAGGTTTGAAATCTAGAATTCTAGGATAGATTTCGATTGGTGACATAGTACCTGATGTTAAAATGACAGATTAAAATGATGTAAAGATATTTTTCATAGCTAATGAACTATCAAAACAAGCTAGAGTCATTAGTTTTTCATTTAAAGTTCCTTCATAATTATTAGATTAAAATATAACTTTAAATCCTTCTTAATATTAGACTAAGAACATAACGAATTACGCAACAGAACTTAGAGGTCTAAATTTATCAGTTTCTGCAATCTATAAAGTATTAAGTAATAGACTTAATCTTTCACCACATTACTTGAGAGAATCAATATCTAGATTTCCTTCTTTTTAAATTTCTTCAGTAAAACTTTTTGTATGATGTAAAATAGCATGTGATGTTTTTAATGCTTCGGAATTATCTTTTAATTTTTTTCTTAATGAATTAATAACTCTTTTCATAAAATCTATAAAGTTTCTAGCTTTTCTAATTTATCCAGGAATGACCAATTAATTCAATTAACCTTCTGGTTTATTTTCTAAATTTTTAATTAATTTTTTATATTCCTCATTAAGTCTATCTTATATTTCATTAGTTTCATTTTAGATTTATGATTCTACAATTTTAAGATTATTAATAGCTTCTGCTAAAATAGGTTTATTTAATCTGACAGTAAAAGCTTCAATACAAACATCATCAATATTATGAGCTTCATCAAATACAACAACACTTTCTTTTATTTAATCTTTAGATAACAATGAAGATACTGCTGGATCAATTAAATAGAGATAATTATAAACAACAATATTAGCTTTTTTTACCATTTCTCTTGCTGTAAAATAAGGACATTAAATTGAGAAAGCTCCATTCTTTCTTAAATCATTTAAACTATAAACATCATTTGGGAGATTAGCAATAATGTCTTTTGATTATTTCTCAAAATTTTCAAAATATATACATGTTTCACTTTATCCTCTTTTAACCCATTCTGCTGTTCTTTTTCTGCATTCAGAATCTACTCTATCTTTTTAATTAACAACATCTTGATTGATGCATAGATTTTTTCTAGAACTTAATCCAACAGCGGTAAAATTATCATTTAGACCTTCTGCTTTCCTGGCTTTTAAAACTAATCTCACTTCTTCTAATGTTTTTTCCATTTCTACTACTGTACGTGTGCAATATATTAATTTTTTAATAGTATTAGGTCTTTATGCTAAATATGCAATAATTAATGCAAGTAATGATACTGTTTTACCTGTACCTGTAGGCATCTCTAAAATTCCATGTCCTTTCTCATCTAAAGTTTATTTTAGTGCCTACATATATTCCAATTATTCCTTATATAAAAATTTGTATGGGAAAATGACTTCAATATCATCAATTACAAATTTCATAAAAAATTTTATTAATTTTTTTTTATTAAAATAATTACATTCAAATTCCTGGAGGGGGTTTCGGAAAGTATGGATTTATTTAATTATTTTCATTCCATTTCAAAGGTACTTTAAGAGTGCTCTACTCAAATTGAGGTAATTTATGTTGAATCTAATTTAACATTGATTCCAATCTTTGAACACTATTCTTATCCAACATTTCTTCATCAGAATCTTATGGTAAAAATATTGGATCTTTAGTATCCCAACATTCTTAAGAAGATTAAGTATTCATTGTGATTTATGTTGGAATTGTAAATTCCACTCTCTAAAATAAATTAAAAATCTTTTAATTTGAAACCTTTCTCTATTCCACTACCTTTTCCTAATATTCAGAAATCTAATCTTCATCTAAACTTTCCCCTTGACTAAAATGAGAAGAACTTTCATCTATTTGAGATTATAAGTTAGTGTAAATGATGTTTTCTTTACTCATTATATCTTCCGGTATTATAATATCCTAAATTTCATCTGCTTTATCAGAAACCCCCTCATTTGTTTCAGATTTACTCTACAATTAAATAGATTCTTATATTTTAAAAATAGATTGAAAATCAATCTACTCTTAAATAAGATTGCCCTCTATAACAATTTTTAACTCCTTTGATTTCTTTACATTATTTCTTAATAAGGTAGCTATGTACAACATATTGAGAATTGAGACTATTATAATTAAGATGCTTGGTTTCTCAGAAATTATTACTGTTTATTAAGAGATCAATATTTTTGGATCTTGCTTTATAATTTTTTTTAAGATTTATTCATTAAATTTTTAATTAGATCTATAATTAATAAGAATCTCAGAATCTTATAATACATCAGTCTAAATCATAATTTTGTTTTTTCCAAAAGAATTTAAAAGCTCCTTAGCTTATTATTTATGATATTTAGAATCTGAATAAAAATTTTGTTTTCCCATATAATCAATATGAAGAACATCAGATCTAGAATTTGAAGCAATATTTGTAGCCATTGTTAATAAAGAAAGATTCTAATGTTTTATTTGTTAATTCTCAACTTATAACAATTATATTTGCTGAGTAAAAGTACTTCTTACATATATGTCAAATTACTGTACTTTTGTAGTCATTCCTGGATCTAAAGTTAATACAGAAGGATAATAATTGACAGATCCCTTTTACACTGAATATGTTACATCTATTTCAATTATTTCATATTGACTTCTAAAAGTTAATTTACTATTGGCCAGTATTTCATAATAATTTGTATTAATAATAACTTTTAATTCAATTCTTTAAAAAGGTTATATTTCAAATGAAAATTTACGTTTTGAAGCTGACTTTATATCATCCCTATTTACTAATAATACTCTAATTTAATTTTTTTTCTTTTCATTTTGTTTATAAGAAACATCAATTTTGACTGGATTAGGATTATAAAATGAGAAGATTTTAGTATATTATTAGTAAATGCCTAAATTATTAAATTCAATGGTTGAATGCTATCCTTATATATTACATTATCCTAATAACTTAGTTTAACACATTAAGTGTTTATCATAGACGATTAATTTAACAGGGACTCTTAAAAAATATGCTATTTCAACAGCTAACCAAATTTCAAATGTTTTTGATCGAATATCTGAAAGTGTTTATTCATATATCACAGTACAAACTCTTGTTTTTTGAGTGGTTGAATTGGATGGTAAAACAATTTTTTCGAAATCAACTTTTAAAAGGGGAGATGAAGTAAATATATTAGTTATCATAAGTTCTTTATTGATCAGATTCTTAAAGTAAACGTGTTTGGTGATTCGAATTTACTAATTCACAATGCTAACCTGAATGTTTAGATAAGCTATTATACATTCTAAGAATGATCTATCAAACCCCCAGTTATATGAATCTCATCGATGTTCAAATAAATTGCCAGATCTGAATACCAAAACGGATTCTAATTTTCTAGACTTTCTATCTCTTACACTATTGCTTTAACTTTATTCTAACTCACAGAATCCTATAGCACCTAATTACGAGCCTCCTTAGCTTATTGATGGTCACTCACACAAAAATGAATCCCTACACTTATGAAGGTGCATTTTCAAACCTTTTATCTGAAAGGAGTCCATGTTTTGTTTACAGCTCTCAATCTACCTGCTCTCTATCAAATATAATAATATAAATAGGAACATTATATTAATAATATAAATAGGAACATTTTATATATATAATAATATATATATATTTTTTTAATTCAATCAGATCAAACAAAATGAATATTCCTCTTCACTATTCCTAAACCTTATAAAGTTTTTGGCACTGTTGAATTCATTATTGGTGGACCACAAATATAAAATCTATCGTATTATTCTACCTACCCTAAAAACTTCTTCATAAAACTCTCATTAAATCTTTCCTCTACACAAGTAAAGTCTTCAATCTATTCTTTAATCTTTAAAATTATCTTGAAATTCTATTCATCTAAATATCTCTATAATTTATTCAACCCTTTAAATATTTCAAAACCTATTAGTTCTGATCTATTTGCAACTCCAAAAATCAATGTTATATGTAAACCATTATTATTGAATTAACATTCGAATGGATTCAATCTCTCAGCTATCTTCTAACCAAATTTTTTCTTTATTATTTAATAAGTTGCACATTACAACTAAAAATCTAATAAATCTAAAAATGGCAATATCCCTGTTCCTCCACAAAATATCACAATCCTACCCTTATTTGGTAACCCTAAAGAAGGTCCATTTGGTCCTTCAATTTCATATTCTTCATTTATGTGTGAATGAATATATTAAGAAAAACCAAAGTTTGAGTTATACTTCTTAATAATTAATGGCAATTCTTTTAAATATCTTTATTATTGCAACATCTATTCTATATCTTGTTATTTTAGCTAATCGAAATGCTCAATCAAATTTATCAATTACTATCTATATTATACATTCTCAGAAGCCATACATACTATCGAAGTATATTGTCTAATAGAGATCTTTTTATTAACAACAGATTTTATTTAATAATACTTTCCAAACTGATCAAGATTGCCTAATTAAGCTTCTATCTATTTTTATGAATGAGTAAATCCAAATAAACTAATTTTCTCAGAGATTATTTATTGATTCACTAATCTCCATATATTGTTACTTTCTTAAATCAAATTAGCAATTTAATTTCCATATAAATAGCCTATCGTTTATCTTTTTAGAAAAGCTATAGCTTGATCTGAATGAGCATAAGCCACTGATGATCCATCTTCTAAGGATTATCCACCATAAATAAATCTTGATATTTCTCTCCCTTTTACTCTCTACCAAATATATTATCCTCCGGGATGTACAAAACCTGTTAGATCAACAATATTATTATTAAAAATAAACCACAACTTCTTATCATATTCCTTTTCAATATTTGTTTAATCTAGAAATAAATAAGATAGATAATAATACCATTCTAAATTAAATATTAGACAAATAATGAATCTTAGATACTCTCATGTCTTTCACTTATTGGCTTCATTGCATAAAAATATAAATAAAGTTTTCCATTATAATAAAACCATTCAAATAGGATTCTCCAAAAAAATAATACACTATAAATCACCCAAAACATTATTAAATTGCCTTATCCTTAGCCCTATACATTCGTGTATACTTCATAGAATCCAAAACCACATTAGATTTTCCCAAGAAAATACATTGCGTATCCAAGATATACGTGAAACAATGACATGATTTTAATATATTGTTATTAGTCGTTTGATTCAATACATAATTTTAAAAATACTCCTCCTAAACTTTACAAAATCATCAGACCCAAATATGTAAATCCAATAGGAGCATGAAATGAAGCTATATTTTAATTTCCATAAAATGTAGGTGGATTCCAAATAGCAATCATAAGTATTTCTGCTATTACAGTAAGTAATACACATAATCCCATGATGATGCTATGTAAATTTAATCTATGTTTGCTCATTAACCCATATCTATTAGCTAAAATACCAAAATCAGCTAAGATTCCCCAGACTATGAAATTGGCCCATTTATGATAATAAAATGCTGAATGTCTATCTTTTGATTCACTCTAAAGAACTACAAAATCATTTTCAAATTCCAAATCAGATTGCAAAAATTTGTCTGATTATTCAAGGTAATTCTTACTGTTTGTTTAAAGAAAAAGTGTTATTAGGATGAAGACAGAATATATGTATGACATCGATAAATATAATAGTTTTGATTTGAGTTATAGTTTCTTTTTATAACACTTTGATTATGTCACATACTTTATCACCAAGAGATCATAAATTAAACAATTTTATTAAGTTGGATATGTAATATTAAATAAAGATTATTATAACAAATATTTGCAAATATAATATTAATGAATATAAATTTGATTGTTAATATAAACTTAATTAAAGAATTCAAACTTATTATTGTTTACACTTTTGAATATTTTTGAACATAAAGTTGTTTTTAGAACTAAAGTAGTATTTTGGAGTATCTAAATAAGCGCTTTTATTTTAGGAAGCTGTAGAATTAATATCTATATTATCGCTATGATATTACTATGATAACAATTATGGTTAGATGTTAATGATAGATGAAAAATTATACTCTGGAGTTTTTAAATAAGTAGGTGAATTTAATTCACTAGATTGCTTAGATTCAAATTTATCAAAAGCAAGCTAATTCTATTAAATTTCTCTATCTAAAATAATTGGATGTTTTAAATTTCTGATTTGTCTCATTTTGACAATTAGTTGTAATTTTTATTTCAATATTTTCATTCTAATTTTTTTTGGATTGCATATACCTTTAAAAATTATATCTTGTAAAGCTTAATTCCTTTTTGGTTTGCTACCATTCAAATTTTATGAGAGTTCTAAAAGTAATGGACCATTATTTCTTTTTAATTTATTCTTTACGAATTCCTGCATAGCTACTTACTAAGTTAAAGGATTAGTTCTATCATAATCAGTAGACAATTTTAAATAGATATCCTCATATCGAACTTATAATTCTTCTTCATAAACATCCTTATACAAAATTCTATGTATTCTACATGTAGGAATGATTAGTTCTAAGCCAGAGACTGCCAAAGATGCAACATTAATTGTCTAACACAATTAACTTGAATGAAATGAATAATCTATCAGAAATTACATCGTGCTTAAGAGAAGTGGACTTAAATCTAATAAGCTGAGCATTTCTCTATCGAGATGACTACTTTGAAATGGAGGTTTACGATTTCTTCGGAAAAGCAAATATTTTTATATCCAGTAATATAATATTAAGCCAATCAATCCAAATAAGATTGAAATAGGTGTTATGGGAGCAAAGAAAAGTGTAAGCCAAGTAGTCTTACATAAATATGAATACTAATCATAAAATGAGACTTAAGGACCTTCAAACAATTGATTAGCTTCCATTTAATTTAAATCAGTATATTTTTCAATTCTCAATTATTTTAATTTCTTAATAAAATAAAAGACATTGAAATAAACTGATAATGGTACTAAAAGAGCATTAGTACCAGATACATATAAAATGTCATCTGCTATTCCTCCCTATTATTATACAGCGAAATTTAATAGTTATTTATCTTATTATGAATATTAATAGTAAGTTCCAAGTACATTAATAATTATCAATAGTAAACATGAATTGATAAATTAAACATAACTTAGTTTTTCAGCTATTGAAGTATCCTACGAAGTTTTAGTAACATGTCTCTCTTAATTAGCTAATAAAGTTATAAAATAATAGATAAGTCCATCTACAATCGTGATTATCAAGGATTTTGATAATGAAGCCATTGTTTTCATTACAAATTGGTTGTTTTTTGAAGTCAACAAAAAATGATTCTAATTTATCATTAAATTCTACTTAGAAAACATTTAAACCATAAAGTGTACTCAGAGATATACCCAACAAGAAAAAAACAACGAACCAACTTAATATTCTTCTTTTAAGATGATTATATTCATCTGTACCACAATTCTCCCAAAAAACATCATCTGGTTCAGGAGCTCTAGAAATTTCTATATAATTGTGCTTAAAGTAGAATCCTCTTCTGTCTTTCTTTTTTATAATTGATTTTAAGGTAATCATAAATGCTTCCCAATAAGAGAGTTTTGTTTACTCTAATAAATTTTGTAATTCTAAAATCAATGATCTTAAAATACATTTTTTTGTCTGAAATGTAATGAAAGCTATTTGAGTAGTCTGTTAATATGAACCATTTTCTATTTAGGCTTCTATTAATTGTTACTGGTTTGAAATTTCTTTAATTTATTTTTATAATTTCTCTTTATTGCTAGAAGATGATTTCTCAAGTAATTTTTCTAATTTTATCTTTTGTCTTCCTTTATCAACATATTAAGCTATATCATAGGCGATATTAACCTTTACTACTTCATAGTTATTTCTGGGATCAAATTCTTTACAATATTGTTCCAAAGCTATTTTTAATTCTTTTTCATTATAATCATTTTTTGGTAAATTGTTCAAGATGGCTGTAAAATCAGATGGAGATAATAATTCTTTATCAATTGCATATTCTATCTTACGTTATTTCTCTCTAATCAATACCATTAATATTTTAAGAATTATTACTGAGCCTAGAATCAATGAAGACTAGATCAATTTTGATTCATCTTCAAATTATTTATTTATATACGATATTATTGAGGTTTGAGATTGTATACAAATATCAGAATAATGTTAACAGATGGTCTGACAATCTGAAAATAAATTCTCAAAATATTAATAATCTGAATGAGAAAGTGGACAATTTTATTCACATCCATTATATTTCCAATATTGATATGCATAATTATTAGGAGCAATGCAATTATTTGCTAAATAATTCTGAGAAACGTTAGGAACTGTAAAAATAAAAAATAATACGAAGTGCAGTAGTATGATGAGCTGCATTAAATTAAAAAATAATGGAACACCTTATCCTAAGAATGCTAAATTAATAATGTCAATATTTAAAGGTAGCGGTATTTTATCTATACTAAGTCCGCAACATTGACAGTAATTAGAATTTTTAACATTCTAACCACAACTTGTTGCTAACTAAAATATATCACTACAAAAAATTTACTTAATGTTGTAGTGCATATTATAATCTAGGCGGTTTCTAAAGAGGATCAAATTCTAATGTTTCTCCTATAAATTTTGGATAATTCATATATTTATATATAATATATAATAACACTACCACTGATATGTAATTGATTAAAAAACGAATGATGCTGAAGGAGTTGAATATTAGAACGTTATCAACATTTGATAAGATCGAAGTTGTTTGAACTTAAGAAATAATTAAATAATATTTTTAGTTCTTCAAGTTTAGAATAATTATTTAACCTGAATATGAATAATTTAATATAGTGATACTAAAATTAGGTTTGACATATTTGTAATTATTTAAATTATGAATAATATTAATTGAATACTTAAAAAAGTATAAATTTATATGAATCTAAATTTGAGATTAGAAAAACAAAGATCGCTGTTTAATATAAAATCTTTTGTGATTTCATTAATATAATCAAGATTATTCTTATTACTCTTAAAGTAATTCTTAACCTTCACTCTGCATAGTTTTACTTTTATGTAATCTTGCAGATTAAACAATTGATAATTTTTTCTTTTCTTCTTGTACTATGGATTTGACTCTAGATCCTCTTCTTTTTTCATCAATTTTAATGAACCTGTCAACTCTCTTAAATTAAACCCAAGCTTTGCCTTCCATAAGTTCATCCAACTGGAAAGAAATGAGAATAAGAATACTTCTAAATTAATTTCTTCTTCTGAATAGCCATTTTATTTAACAATTTCCCAAAAAGCCATCCATTCATCTTCAGTGATATCTCCACTTTTATCAAAATCTACAGCATCAAATAATGCTTCAGTATTGAGTTTAGCAAAGTTAGACTTCCTAAATGTTTAAATAATCAGAATACCAAAATTGTTAAGTTCCTTATTTATCTATAGTACCATTTCCTTTGATATCTATTTTTTTGAATATTTCAATAGCTTTAGTTCTTAATTTTTCACTTAAAGATTCATCAATTTTGGTATGAGTACATCCCATGGTATTTTAATAATTAAATGAATAATAAGGAGGTAATCAATTTATACATAGAAGACAGATAGGATATTTTAGAATGGATTGGAGATGAAGTAGAAATAGATGTACTAGATGAAGTAGTAACATTTATTATAAATGATATAAAACAAAAATATCAAACTGATTTGTTAACTTTGAGAGATTAAGAGAATCAATATTATGACATTGATTAGATAATAGAATTCAAAAGACCTCATACATATATTACAATACCATAAAGATATGATGTAAAAACATTGGCAAAGGTATTAAATGGAATAAGCTAAGAATGAAATAAGATTAAATAGAAACATTTACATTATCAAAAATGAGAGTGTTCTATTAGAAAAGTATAAAGGTGCTCGTAAAGTAGAGAGTGTTGAATACTAACTTATAGCTATTAAAAAGGCTAATCAAAAATATGTAGATACTTTAAAAGGCATTTTCGATGATTTAGTGATACAACCTAAAAAACGTAACTCAATTAAGAATGATATATAAAATCCTGTTCAATTTTAAAATGAACCTGAATCTCCGAAATTTGGATAATCTCCTAAAGAATGTGTATCGCCAGGTTGGATATAAAGGAAATCATTAAATGATAGTAATAAGAAAAATGATTTAAAACAATTTACAATCGACGAGGTATGACTATCCTACTGAGAGTAGGTGGCAAAACATAATTCTATTAATTCTGCATGGATTGTTATCAATTCCAAAGTCTATGATGTTACTAAATATTTGAATAAACATCCTGGAGGCCAAGATGAAATTATCAAAGGAATTGGAACTGATGCTACTGCTTTATTTATGTAAAATCATCCATGGGTTAATGCCCATTATCTATTAGAACACTTTTAAGTTGGATTTCTAATCAATCATAAATGAATTATATATATATATCTATGTATCTATATATATAACTCAAACATCTATAGGTGGCATTGTGTCTCCCTCTACTATGTGAGATTCATGTTCTTCTCCCAATTTATGTTTGTCACACAAAATGTATTTACTTGATTATAATAATTGATCAATGAATTCAACATTTCTCTCCAAATTTTTATTATACTCAAATACTAAAGAACCTCGGAAATGCATCAATTTTAACATATCCACTAACTAAATTATTAACTCTATCAAATCATTACATGTGAATAACTAACAATCCCTTCAGACAAATTCTATTATTTTACATATTGTTCTTCAAATATAAAGTTTTTCAAAAATATTGTATTATATTACTCATTTACATGTTGATAAAGAGTTGCCAATATATCTCTATTTTAATCCAATTCACTCTATTAAGGATTTGCATATCTGTAAATATTAAAATTGACACTTTTTAAAGTTTTCTGTTGATTTGCCAATTTAAATAATAAATCATATGTGAATTTTGGATTATAACTAAGTACATGATTCACCTCAAAATTGAATGAATTCTCTATTACACTTTGTAAATCATCTAATTCCTCTTTCACTAAACTTAAAAATTCTTCCTCTTTATCAATGTTTCCATCATGTTTTAATGCATAAAAATAAATTAATCATATATACCATAAATACTTGGAATTGAGTCTTATTTTAATCTGTTTTCAATTTAAATAAGTGTTGACAAATCTATAACAATGCTTTTTATTCCAGCTTTCTAAATTTTCCATCTCTCAGAATAGTCGGAACATTAACACTGACACCGCGAACTAAGATTTCATTTAATCTTTAACTTACATATAAAAAAGGATGGATCAAATATTTTTTTTATACATTCATCATTATGCTCAGCCAAAAATTCCATTAGTTCTGCTTAATCATTCAGATTATAGATTATGCGATGTATATTTAAGTCTCTTAACCTTTAAAAATCATTGAATTCCTTTAAGCTATTAATTCTAACACTCAAACTAATTGCACTCTTGTCAAATTCATAGATTTAGTCTCTAATAACATTTGTAGAAAACTTATATAAACATCGATTAATAAATTTCATCTTAATTAATTTAATTATATCACGCATCATTATCATGAAAATGTAAATACTCTTAAATAATATTATAAATCTCTTCTTCATCATTTTTACATTCTACATCTTCAATTTATTAAGGCTTTTTTAAGAATTTAGTAATTTATTAATTGTTGTTAGTTGCTTTTAATCTATTTGAAATATCCTCTAATGATTCTACTTTTTCTGGTTTTTTTGAGTAAATATACTACTTCTCTAATTCTCTAATACACTATTTTATTGTAGGTTTTGGCATAACTTAATCTACTTTTCTTTTTCTATTTTTTCTATCTGGTTCCAATTATACTCCTAATTATTCCATTAATCCGCCTTTGATATTTAAAGATTAATTTTACGAAATTTAGTTTCAGTCATCCATTTTGTATAATTCTTAGATATCTTAGTAAAATCAGTACATTCTCTAATCAGAGTGGAATAACCAGATTCACCATTTGTTTTTAGTCTTTTTAAATAACCTTGGAATCCTTTGACTGGATTAATTCTGACTTTTCTTCTGTATTCAGCAAAATTTTCATATGGTATAACTAATTTCTTCATAACAAATATAGAGGAAAGATTACCTTTAAGATGGCTGGTTTAATAGCATTAACAAAGGTTCTCATTTCTTAATAATTAGAATGCAATGAATATGGTACCATATAATTAATGCCATCTGGATCTCTATGACTTTACATTAAAAAATCTGTATTTATACAAATGAAATTCTCCTTTGCTTCTTCCAAATACTACGAAATTATTTATTCTCTATGACTTCTCTTTATTATTTCAATAAAATATCCTAAAATTATAAATATTGAATTACCTTTTCTATCTGTAGTGAATAAATTCATATTTTCAGTGGAACTAGCGATTAATTGATTATACTTTTCTTCAATCACAATAATTTTAGTTTTAAAGTATTTGCAAATTTCCATCACAATAACTTCTTTTCCTAAAGCACCCATTGCAATTAATACTCTTTTTTTGATGTTATTTTCAATGATTTTAATCATTTATTATGCAACAATATCAGCAGTTGGAAAATTGAACATTGGATCACAATAAGTATTATCAAATATTAGTTCATCAATTTAGATTGATTAATATTGAGGGAATAAAATGGGATTCTATGTTATCATACTCTTATTATATCTAAAATCTCCTGTATGAAGAATAGTTCCCATATATCCACGAAATAAAAACATCGTGGAACCAGGAATATGATTTGCTGAAAATAAAGCTACTTCAATTGTAAACTCATTTTCAATCCTATCTGTCAAATCTTATGTCTTAAGATTCAAATAGTAAATATGATTCATGTCTAATGAAACTATTCTTTCAATCTTTGGAAACTTATTTAAGATGAACTGCTTTGTAATCTTACTACAATAGATTTTCCCATAATTCCATAAAGGAGTCATTCCTTACCAATGATCCTAATGGAAATGTGTTAGGAAGTGAATAAAAGTATCTAGTTTATAATCCTTAGCCAATTCAAAATCATCAACTATGATATTTGTATTAGTTATTAATCTCATTTTTTTAAATTGTGTTATTTCTTTATCATTTAGTAATTATATAACATATTCTAAATTACATTTACATTCTTGATTAGCATAATAATTAAATTTATTATATTCATGCTAATTAGGTTATCAACCAATATCATTAAAAGAATAAGGTAAACATATTGCGTTTAAGTACCTATTCTATTGTATTTAAGAATTCAACAAGAACTCAGTTGGAAACTATGTCTAAAATTGATGATCTAGAAAAAGTATAATAAGAATGGATAAATTTGGCAAAATAAAAAGACAATAACACATTTGATTAAGATGATGAAGTGGAAGAGTAAGAAGATAAGAAAGAAGCTAAAGTTGATCGAGATTTATAAGAAAGTGATAGTGATTCTGATTCTGATGATGATGAACCAAAGGGTGGTAGAAAAATACCTTTGGTTGAGTTAGTCAAAGGTTTCATTCCAAGACTTTTAAGACCAGAACCTCAAGAGTGATATATAAATATAGTGTGATTTTTTATCAAAACTATTTATAATTCATATCAAATATTAAAGCCAATCTTGAAAATCAACTTATTCAATCCATAATGTATTAGTTTCATTGTTCCACATATACCAATTATAATACCTTAATAATAATGGTAATTCATTAATTACTAATTGCTTACTTCAAGTAATTCAATTCCTATAAAAACAATTAAATAGATTAATCCTTCTATCAAAAGTCCATAAATACAATCCATAACATATTTTTTCCTATTTTTTATTTCAATTTTAAATCTTAAAATTGCACCTGTTATAGTAGCAATTAGTATAAATGGTATAAATACATACAAATTGTAAATAATTACAATAGCAAATAAATACAAAGGATACATGAGTAAAATAAGATATAAATGAAAACCTACAAGATATAATGTAATTAAAGTGTTATATAGGATCAATAAGTAATATGAAATTATTGATTTACTACATACATCATCATCATGTCCCTCTAAATAGTTTTTACAATACCAACAAAAATTAACTAAACATTTTTTACATGTCATATGTCTACAACCTCCATTCTTCATTATTTAAACATTGCATTTAGGACAATTTTATGTTTTGAAAAATTTGAATACTATTGAAAAAATATTATTCTTAACTTGATTGAAATTTATGAAAAGTAATTTGTTGTAAGGTAAATATTATTTATCAACCCAAACGAAATCTTCTATTATTGAAACATTTTACTGCATTAATCACAAACAAACTCCTCTTTACATCTAGATTTTGGTAGAAAACAATAATTATTACAAGCTTTATTTGGACAAGGTCTTACATCTTAGGTTCTTTATAAATAATTTTTAAACATAATTTCTTAAAATCTATTCTCTATTTTCTTAGAAACAATTGATTAATGAAATTTCATTAAACTTATTTCTTCTTTGCATTAGTAATTTAAGCATTTAAAAGACTTTATATTTTATTTTTATTTGATTAATTCTTCAATCCAATTCAATGCACACTAATAACAAAATTTACATGAACAAGACTTTTATATAAATAGGTGAGGTTAATCTTTGATACAAATTGGGCAATACATTATCTTTAAAATGTTTTGCTAATTAATTGATTATAATTTCGACACATATATCCGATCAATTTTGATATGTATAATAATAAAAAGAATATTAATAAGAATATTAAATTAAATTGATAGTTCAATTCAAAATAAACATAAAATATATATTTCAATCAATAAATGTAGATATATTAGAGTTTCTGTATAAATATTTTATTTATCATACTTGTAATTTATTACAGTAATTTTAATATTAAAAATGCAATTTAACTTTTTAATCTCAAAATGTATGTCAGTTAATGAAAACGGAATGAGTATTTTGAATGGAGCTTAATAACGCAATCCATAACTTGATGAAGTGATTACTACTATGGGTGAAGCATCTGCAAAGGTATTAATTGTAAATATATGTAAGGCATAAAATTTGAAATAAGTTATAACAAGTCCATTAAGATTTTATTAAAGTGATTAAAAGTTATATATTAAATCAGAAGGAAAAGTATTAATATAATTGAATATATTTAGTAATGTTTAGGTATGCTTAAGGTGGGAAGAAAGAATTTATTTCACAGAGATTTAAGTGGATTAGTTAAAGAAATACAGCCTTTGTGCGTGTTAGACTTTTATGTACATGAGTCTGTTTAGAGAAAAGGAATTGGGAAAGAATTATTTGAAGAAATGCTTAGATGTGAAATAATTTGCCCAGAAAAACTAGCATATGACAGACCATCTCCAAAATTACTTGGATTTCTAAAAAAACATTATCATCTCTAAAATTATATACCATAGAATAACAATTTTGTTATCTTTTCATAATATTTTGAGAATAGATAATAATAGATTCTAAATAATTAACTGGCATCACCATAGTCAACATAATATTAATAATCATCAACACCTTTAAAAGTTGAATAGTTAGGATCATTGATGTCGTAGATGACTATTTAATCAACATAATCCAAAAATCAATAATAAAAGGAAAGTAAAACTTAAGCTCCATGGGCAACAGATCAAAAGTAACAATAAAATGTATTTAATTTTTCTTAATTATTAGATGTATCAAACAACAACTGGACTCATGTCAGCCTAAATCTAGAAAAAAAGATGAAATATTATTAATAATACTAATAAGAATCTATATCATTAATATTTGAATAAAATATCAATTTAAATGATTTCTTAAAAATACTCAAAGCTCTCTTGCAGTTTTCATCCATTATTCTTTCAAATAGAAATTTGAAGTTTATTTTTCTACTCCAAAATAAAATAGTCCATTAGGAACTGAATTTAAATCATCAAAATTTTGATTAAAATATTTTTATGTCATTCTTACAGGAGGAGGGGAAGTATACAAGTAGAATTCAAGATTTTAATCTTCTAGCATCTAAAAATTATATATATAAATTCAATAAACTTACATCCTTTATTAAATCATATAAAGTTTTTAATGTTTCTAATGGTCCAAAAATAGCTTAAACAATAACACTATTTGGAAATTAAACTCTTATATCTGTTTTTGAGAATATAGGTTTTTTAAGAAGTTCTTCAAATTCCTTCTTTCTTTTTGAAGCAAATTGTTATTCTTCAAGAGACTATATATAAATTATTACATTTAAATTACCTAAGCAACTTGTTAAAGAAATTACAATAATTATTCATCTTTCTAAGGTTAAACTTCTTCATAATCATCTTAGATTTGAATTTGTTATTATAACTATACAGGTGATTATTATTTTCTACCAATAAATATTTTAATATCTCTATTAGTAATTGGTTAACTCATAATTTCCTTATGATAACAATTATATATTACAAATCTTTTCTGATGTAATTATTCAAGCTTTTGAGAGAATGAATAAATATCATAACCTTCATTTTTGGCCAATTAAGAAGTGATTGATACATTTGATGATGAAGAATGAATTATTGGTTTTTAGGGATTAAATCCTTATTTCTTTTCAGTATAATTCACCAATTCTTCAACAGCATCTTTCCATACACCTTATTGTTCCATTTTATATTACACCAATAAATATTCAGCTTCTATATTCCAACCTAAATTCTTTAAATAATTTAATGCTGATGGATATTTAAGTATGTTGTTTTAAAGTGTTTTTGAGCTTATATTTATTTTTTATTTTTCTAAACTTAATGGATTCATAACAACATTAGATATTATTTTAAAAAGTATTTCTAATGTTTTATAAAGTTAATCCTAATCTGAAATTTCTGAAATTATTTTAGTCAATTCTAATTGCCAATTTAATTTCTATTCATCAGGTCTTTGTACAAACTCCATAAGTAATTAACCTATTCTTTTTGGAATTTTAAATTCATCAAAATTTTCCTACTTCATCTTTTTAATTGAATCTTTTGTATCATACCAATTTTCTTCAAGACTTAAAATATAACAATCCATTTACATTTCAATATATGGTTCAACTGATGATATTGGCTTTCCCATTTCAAATGCAATTTATTATAGTGCTTATCTAACATAAGAAATAGATTTTTGTTACATTTAATTATATTAATTAATTAAAGAAATAATAATCAAATATATATATAAATCAACTAAATATTATATCATAAATATAGCTTATTGCTAAAATACCTACAAATACTAAATGATTTTTCTCAGCATTCCTTTTAAATTGAAACAATGTTGATCCCAATAATAAATAAAATTTAGTTTAAACAAAAATTTCTTATAAACTAAAAATATTGAATAAAACTAATAAACCAATAGCAATAAAATTAAAGTAGATCTAAGACATAAGATTTCTTGAACCAAATATTACTGGAAACTACCAAATTAGTAATGATAATCCATTTAATCCCCATTAATAACATAATAAAATACCAATAATTGGAATTAAAATCCATCTAAATCCTATTCTAGTAAAATAACTGAAAACCAATATTATAATTAAGATTTCTAATCCAAAACCTATAATTGATTTTCCAAGAGTTATATCCAAATAATTAGTAGAAAATTATAAGATGAAATACTCTAGAGTAAGTAATATGATGCATCCACCTAAAATTAGTAGATTTTCATAAAAGCGTCTTCTATTTTAGAGATCATATATTGATTTACAAACTCCAAATAAACCTGATAAGGTTCCAATTATTAATACATTCATAGTAAATAGTTCAAAAATCCATAACAATGGATATAATAGATAAAGTAAATAATAAAATACTCCAAATTAATACAATATATTAACAGGAAAAGTCAATAACAATCCAATTGATAATACGAATTAACTAAAACATTAAGTTTCTTTGTGTCTTCCCCATTATTATTTACATAACCAACAAAATTAATGTGCACATACTTTACATGTCATATGTTTACAACCTCCATTTCTTTAAATCAAAACACCACAATTAGGACACTCATTTGCAGTAATAAAACAATAACAAAATTCTCTTATTATTCCAAATATATTTTGTATCATGTATTCAATCTAATATGTATATGAAGCTAATGCAAAATCTCTCCATTTCATTCCACATTCTTAACACTCTAATTCATCATCACATTTATTTTATAATTCAATATATCCATAATATTTACATTTACCATTTGGACATGGTCGAACATCTTCATTTTTTAGATATTCCTTTACTAAAATCTCTTAAATCATCCTTTCATAAGGTTAAAGAGAACAATAACTTAAAATTTCATCCCTACTATAACTGAAAGGACAATCTTAATTCGGACATTAAATAATTTTAATTGCTTTATCTCTGTTTTTCTCTTCAAACCAATTTATTAGACACTCCAAACAAAAATGACACCCACATTTTGTTGAAAAATTTGTTTCTGAAGTACATATTATACAAATCTGCATTTAAATTAATATATATTCAAATAAATAAAAGGGAATCATTATACTTATTCTGATACTATCTTAAATAATTCTTCAAATGACATTTTTATTTCCTAAAATTCTCTAAAAATCCTCATCTTTCTTTTATTCAAACATTTCTTAAATAGAACTTCTTTTTCATCGAAAAAACTATATTCTATTACACTAAATTAACAATAGAATTGTATATTTTCTTTAAGAATGACTTTGATTACTTACTGATATTAATCTTTGATTATATTTTATTATATTGATTATATTTTATTATTGGTCACATAATAAATATAATCAATAATACATCCTTATAAATTATTGATAATGGAACTTAGAATATAGAATTTATACTAAGCAATTGTCTACTTGTAAAATCAGTTACAAAAAGAGGATCCCTTTTAAATTTCAATAATAAAAATAAATTAGTTGAATAATTTATGGTTTTGGATAATATATTATAAATTTATCAGATGAAATGAATGAAATTATCTTATACACCCATTTCTCTAAGAATAATTGGAACTGATGCTTAAATTTAAGGAGGTCCACAAATTAAATATCTTTGATAATCTAAGTTTTTGGCTAAATATCTATTAAACATTTCTTTGCTAAATCTTTCCTCAATAGTCTCAATGCCTTCAATTTTCTCTTTAATTTTGATAATCAATCTTAAGACTTCTTTTTGTAAATGTTTTTATAATTATATTATAGGAAATAGAATATCTGATCCAATTAATTCTGATTTATTAGCCACTGCCATAAAAAGAGTTATATGTACATCAGTGTTAAATGAACAATCATAAGAATTTAAACTATCTGCTAATTATTTGCCAAATTTATTCAAGGTTATTTAATAAATAATGCTTTTAAGTAGGAAATCTAAAAGATCTAAAAATGGAAAAATCCCAGTTCCTCCACAAATAATTACAATTTTACCTTTATTTGGTATACCATGAGAAGGTCCAAATGGTCCCTATATATCATACATTTCATTTTTATGCTTATGAATATATTTAGAGAAACCCTTTTAAGATTCATAACATTTAATAATCATAGGAAGTTCTTTCAAATATTTGGGTTATAAAGGAGCATTACTTTATTAATTAGTTTTAACAATAGATTCAATATAAGTGACAAGTTAAATTCTATATTCTACATTTTCTGGGGCCATAGATAAAATACATGTATATTATCTTATTGGAACAGTTTTCGATTCAAGTGATTTAATCTGAAAATACTTTCCAAATGAATGAATTTAAGTAAATTAAGATATTATTCTATACTAAGAATTCGAGAATCCAAAATAACTTATTTTATCATTTAATTTTGTAATTGTATCTAACTTCCAAGATGTAATATTAGTTGTTGATCCTTCATCATTTGGAATAGTTACAGTAATTCTATTTAATTATCCAATTACACGGTTTTATAATAATACTAATGCATTTTTAGAATGTTCATATTATTTCGCAGTTTCATCTTCTAAACCACAACCTCCAAAAATAAATCGAGACACTTCTCTCCCTTTTATTTTATTCCATATATATTAACCACCTGGATGTACAAATTCTGTTAAATCTATAATTTCATTATTGAACATAACCCATAGCCTACTTTTAAAATCTTCTTAAAGTTGAGATTATTCTATATTATAAGATATATCATACCATTTTGCTCTATGTATTAAATCATTAATGAATTCGAAAGTGTTCCTGATTGCTATCTTGATCTTTCTTCTTTTTTGTTGAAGAATTAATAAAATTTTCCATTTTAATAAAGATATTCAAAGATTATTCTCCAAAAAAACATAAATGCATATACACACCAAAATGAAATTAAATTACCTTATCCTTCATTAACTACATTTGAAAAAGACAAATAATATCCAAAACCTAACTATATCTTTCCTAATAAATAAATTATATATCCTAAATAAATATGTAAAAGTGATTATATTTTTAAATGACTCTATATATTAATCGATTATATACAGAATTTTAATACTATCCCTCCAATAGCTTAAAATATCATCAAACCCAAAAAAATAAAACCTAATAAACCATGTATGTCTTCTAAATTTTCCTAACCAAATAATTAAGGATCTCCCTCTCCAAAGATCATAAAAAATTCAGCTACAACTGAAGGAATAATTACTAAGATCATAATTATCGCATGGACTTCCATTTTATATTATACAAGTATTCCATATCTATTAGCAATAATACCTAAATCAACCAAAATTGCCCAAGTTATAAAGTTAGCATATTAGTGAAAAGTAAAAAATACATTACTACCAGGACTTTCTTCTTCCTCATAATTAGTACCATATAAATCCTTATGTTTGAAATTTTAATTTGCAAGGAACGATATTTATGGATATTAATCATAAACCTATTGAGTATAAGATTATTTTATTGTAAGTCCTAAAAATAGAATATATGTAAACATTCTAATGTATATTATATTATCTTCTTTTTCTCCTTAAAATTTGCTTATATTGCAATATTTAACCTAAAATATGTCATCATTTCAATAAAATAAGCATTTAAGACAGCTATCATTATTACGTATTAAAGAGATTTGATAATAGTAAAGATTATTTTATATATTTATGAATACCAATCTTAAAGGATAATGTTATCGATCAAATAAAGAACAAATACTACAATATCTTCAATTACAACTTTAAATTCTACTACCATTCGAATTTAGAAGAATTTTCACAAAAGAAAAACAACGCTAGAAAAGGACATATTTATTTTAAATTTATACAAAATAAAAATTTTATTTGCATTAAAAAATATTTATAATATAATATAATATAATTTAATATAGTATTAACATTTTATACCAGATTATTATAAGACTTAAAACTAACTTTAATCATAATTGTTAAATAAGGAATAGGATTATAATTCATTTTTTGAAATTTTCAATGATGTAATTATGATGAAAAATAATACCGAAAGATTAGATCTAATAAATGATTAGTTATAAATGGAAGAAATTGATTGCTAGAAATACCTTTGAAGAATTTAATAATTATATAGTTTACTAAATATATTTTATAACTTAATTAGTGAACTCATTTTTATTTTTAAACCATTTTAAACTGTAATCTAAAATTAAGTCTTACAAATTTATCTCATTTTTTATTGACTCTCAAGATTTATGAAAAGTCTAGTCCCCCATTTAATTGCTCAAACTTAGAAACATATTCTTTATTTATTATTCCCATCTTGAATATAGGTAAGAACACAAAAATTTAATTCAGCTTTCCTTAAAATATTATCTATTTAAACAAATTCATTTAATATATCTTTAAACTGATAAGAATTAGGAAGAATTCAAGTTAATCAAATTTTAAATATCTAAAATTGACATAATAGTTACATAAAAATGGACTCTTAAGTTTGTATTTCAACATTTATTTAAGCAGCTATTTTTAATTATAAATTAAACAATAGCAAAATTTTACCAAAAATCTTAGTAAGTTCTTTAGTGGTATCTGGTTTATCATAAAACTTCTCTATCAATTTTATACTCTTTTTTTAAATATATAGATTTAATTTATATATATTATGAAAGCATATTTATATATTTATGATTAATTAATTTTACCTATACAAAAACAAACAATATGTATAAACATCATTATCTGAAAATTTTTGAATATCTCGATTATGATTTAAATAAAGCTAGAATTTATCTATCTAAATCAACTTCAGCTAAATCTTTTGCAGTCAATTTATCTTCATTTTGAATATCAATATCAGCCCCATTTAAACATAATAATTTGCAAATTTCAATATTTTTCTTTTCTACAGCCAAATGTAATGGAGTGTTTCCAAACTTATCCTTAGAATTAGGCAATGCTCCACTTTCCTTTAAAATTTATATTTAATAATTACCAACAGCAAACTAGTACATTCTAATGAATTCGAATTAACACTAAAATGAAGTGGTACTGCATTACTTACAGAATCTCGAAGATTCACTAAAGCTTTATTACTTTTGATTATTTCACTTAATATAAATGTATTTTCGAGCATAGAAGCATAATGAACAATATGGGGTGATTATGAATTTTTCTAAATTCCTTAATAGTATTTAAATAGAATTTTAAATGCATCAAATTAACCAAATAAAACAGATTCATGAATAGGCTGATGATGTTCTGTATTTTCAATATTTAAATTGCATTTCAAATTCAATAATTACTCTATTATTTCGCAATGTCCTTACATTGATGCTAAATGCAAAGGAGTATCTCCTCTTTCATTTTATTATTCATAATTTACACCTTTTTCTATACAATAATTTAAGGCTTATATTTTATTAAAAAATGCACAAACATGAGCAATGTTATTTCCATCCTTATGTACTTCATGTATATTTGCTCCATTTTCTATTAGCATATTACTAGTCTCTCGAACATCATTTAATACTGAAAATGTTAATGGGAAAAAATTATTTGGATTTTCATCATCTTTTAGAATTTATTCCTTTATTGGATTATTTTCCAAGATTTATTTAATCAATTCATTTTTCTATTCAGATATAAGGAAAAAGAGAAATTTGTGTTAATTTATTTGAATATATTTATAAGAATTCCAATATTAACAATAGGATATAATTTTCTTGTATTATTCTTTCTCATATGCTTTAAGTGCCTTTATTAGAATATGACATTTACTTATTTAGATTTATGAAGAGAATAACTATCGAAAAGGAATTGTTTTCCATTTGCAATTAGATTTTATATTTTCTTCATTAATTTATTTTAATTATTATTATGTATAGTTATTTATTAAAAATAATACCTCAAACTTCAAATAATTTATATAATTACTCTTTCTTCATATCATTGTGTATCCAAATCACATGAAGATTAGGGTATAATTCAGATATTCTTTTAATCCTGACATATTTTAAAAGAAATTTTCTCATTGTCTGAATTTAAAAATCATCAGATTAGAGAAATAGATAGGCTTAATCTCCGATTTTCAGATCAATTAAATTTCCATTCTCAAAAAAAAAGTCTTAATATTACATTCTCAAATCTGAAGCAAAAAAATCTAATGATAAATCAGAGTTGAACACTTTAGTTTGTAAGAAATTTGTCACTTCAGGATAATAGACTGCTATATCAGATAGAAATAGTTTCATTTAAAAAATTTAAGGTCCAATTTTCTAAAATTCAGATTTTTAAACTTGCAAATGATAATTTAATCTTGAGATCACTTCCTATTCTTCAATCAAAGGCCATTATTTTATCTATTGTATTACCAAAGTGTATGCAAGGGGAATTACATCAAATATTGGTATTGTATTTTCTTATAAACATTCAATATAATTTTTATTAATAAGATGCGGATTTCCAACTATCAAAGAACATGCTAATGATTCTAATGATTTTTTTAAATTGATTCTCCAATTTTTAAATCCAGGCTCATAAGTAAGATTTCTAATAAATTATCCCTAATCAATATGTTGTTCCATGTATTTAATCACTTAATTGCTTTCTTCCAATTTTTAATTGAATAAACTTGTCATAAGGAATGGACCAAACTTCTTTATTATTGATGTTGGTGAATCCAATTATTCAGAATGATTTAACAAACTCTATAAATTGTGTTTTAAGAATGTAAATTTCATTATTAATATAAAATTATTATCTTAAAAAAAATGATGTTATTTTCTTATGTTAATCTGTTTATTATATGGTCTTTCAAATTGATGATTCATTTTTGAGAGATAAAGACAGTAATTAAAATTTCCTTAAAATTACTTATTATGTTTCTACTTTTATAATATAAATATTAATGAAAACCATTGGAAAATTAATTTATGAACAATTGAAAAAAAAATACGACAATGTAAAGAATAATAGAAAATAAACTAGGTTTCATTATTAAGTATTGATTGTTTAAATTAGATTAGATTGAAATTGATTGTGGTGAAGTTGTTAATATTAAAGGAGTGAAACAATATGAATTAAGTAATAGGATTAATACAGGGTATTTCGATTTAAAAACTTTGCTTTTCTTTTTATTTTTTAAATAGTTTGATAGAATAGGTGTCTTAATCTATTATATTGTAATGATTCTCCATTTTAGTTATCTTTAAATTAAGTAACTAATCCTATGATTATTAAGTCCTGAAGATTTGTTTGTGTACATTTTACCATTGTCAATGCATTACATTCTGTAAGTCTTAAAGGCATTCTATTTTGACTATTTAAAAATGGAATATGATAAAAAGACAAATTTGAGAGGTATAACAAGGTATAGAAGATTGAGAAAGGAAATTGCATCAGGGAATAAGCAGTAATAAAATTAATAATAAATTGAAAATTTTTAAAATTCAAAAGAACCATAGATTACAATAACTAAACAAGAGATGTAAAAAAAACCTCATTCAGTTTAGTCAGTTAAGAGAAGGGAAAAGTTATTACTTTATGAGAATATAAATTGGGAGCAACTTGAGGTAGGTGATTTGATTTATTTAAAACGAAATGAAGTATCGCCAGCAGATATATTAATAATCGATGTTTCTGATAATATTGTCGGAGTATCCTCTTAATAATTAGATGGATAAACAAATGAAGAAGCAAGACAACCTACTTAATTAACAATGTTAAAAAATGGTAAATATAAAGCATCAGGATTTGATTATAAAAAGATTTTGACAGGCTAAATATAATTTGATAAAGATAAAGATGAAAATATTTATGGATATATAAAATTGAAAAAAGATCCAAAAGGTGAGAATTTTAATAGAAATAATATCATTAGAAGAGAAGAACAATTAAAAACATGTTAATATTTAATTGGATTAGTATTATTTGCAGGATAAAATTGTATTTGTTATGATAAGTTGAGATAAGCAGAAAAAAAATCATTTTTTGTTTAAAAGTCAAGAATGTTTTTTGCTTTAACATTAACAATTAGTATAATAATAACATTCATAAGTTGGTTAATAGCATCTTTTGGTGTATGTTAGGGTTCATCAAGTGATACTATATTTGATTCAACAACTCTTATATTTTATATGATCTAATATTTAAAGACTACTCCAATCTATTTTTATAATTGTGTAGACATAATAGAAATGGGGTATGCACGTTATAAATACATTAAATTTAATTAGAGTAAATAATCAGAGATGAGAATCAAAGAGGGAAATAGTATTGGAGGTATAAACATTTAAAATATTTAACCATAAATAAATTATGAATAATTAAATTCAGTTTCAATTGGAGATTTAGTAATGACTGAATATGTATGTTTTGATAAAACTGGGACTTTAACTACAGGAGAATTCAGAGTGAGATCAATAATTATTGAAGATATGATGTATAAATTTGGTTAGAAGAAGATTTAGAATGGATGGTAACTTTTTAAAGAGAATTTCAGATTATAATTAAAATAAAATCCTAACTTTAGAATTTAAGAATAAGATGAATATTCTGATGAATAAATTGCTATTGAATAATAATCAAAGAGCAGAAGTAATGGTTTAAAAAATACTATATCAGGTTTATCAAAATCTTTAGGAAAATAATAAACTTAAAAATTTAGATCCACATTGCTTCATTAAACTCATTTGAGAGATGATGAGATTAATTTTAATAATAAAATATCGACATTTTAGCCTTTACAATAATCAGCCATATTAAGTAAATCTGAATTAGAGAGTGCTAATGTTAAAAATTCTGAAGGTAACAATACTGAATTGATTGGTTAACATATAATTGAAAATATTAGACCTGAAGATTTAGATGATACTCATTGTAAAATAACTCCTGATTTAAAGGCAAATAGACCTAAACCATTTTTTAATAAGAGTATAATAGTAAATTAATCTATCTCAATACAATAATCGCCATCCTCAAGTCCTTTTGAAGAAATTCAACTTATGCCTTAAGAAGATAAGTAATCTGTAAATAGTGATAGATACAAAAAACCTAGAAGTGATAGTGATGCTACAAAAAAAGAAGAGTATAGACATATTAAAAAGTAGTCATCATTTGTTAATAGAAATAATAGTAATAAAGCTACTTTATAATATGTTTAAATGGAAGAAGAAATAAATGAAATAGCATTTTAGAAAGATCAAGAATTCTATTAAAAACTAGTATGTGGACCTTCTTAAATATTTTATTAAGAAGCTATTTTATCTCTTCTATTGTGTTAAGAAGTTGCATCTAAGTTTACTTAATGTGATGATTCATTTATTCATGATTCAACTTAACCTACTTTAGATTCAGAATTAATGAGATTTGCTTATTATTTTGATGTTAAATTTGTTTGTACTAATGAAACAGGTGGTAAAATAACCTATGTCATAGAATTATTAGGAGAAATGTAGGAATTCTAAATTCTTTCTATTAATGACTAAAGTTAAAATCATCCTAGATTAGGGGTTATGATATAATATCCTGATAAATTAGCAGAATAATTTTAATTCTTTATTAATGATCAAGAAGAAGAAAATGAATTTATAAATTGTGTTTTAATTGTTAGAGAAGAATTCAATCAGATTCCATCCTATGTAGATATAGATAAAAATAGTAGAGAATATTGGGATCGAGTATTTACTAAATTACATATGGCTGGAATGAGAACTGTCGTTTATTCCAAGATTTATCTAAGAGAAAATGAAAAAAATGAATTCTTAGATAAATATTCATAAATAAGATTTTAATAATCTTAAAATGATTTAATCTAATTATATAATGAAATAGAAAAAGATATGTAAATAATGCAAGTCTTAGGAATAAAAGAGAAAATAAGACCAGATTCAAAATTATTAATTTAATAAATGAAATAAGCAGATCTCAGTTTATTTTTATTATCAGGAGATGAAATCAATAAAGTCTTACCTGTAGCTTATAAGTCTGGTTTATTACTAAATACTGATTAGCTTTTATATCTTGATTCTGATAATGCAAAATTAGTTATTAAAAATTAATTAGCTTAAATGGCATAATAACTTAAAGTACCTGATCAAAATATGAATATAAGTAATGTTCAATCAAAAACAATTCGTTTAAATACATTAATGGATAAAACTCATAAGAGTATTGATAATTATTATAATCCAGATACATTTAATTAAAATAAATCAGTAGGAAAAAACTCACATAATCAATTTTAATAGTAATAACAATAATAATAATAATATGGAGAAATTAGGGCATATTCGATTGTCTTAAGTGGTGAATAATTTAAAATTATTCAAGATGATAGTGTTTTCCTAGCACATTTAACATTTCTTCTTTATTTTTGCAATTCCCTTATTGCTTATAGATTTAATGCTATTTAAAAGGCTGAAATAATAAAGATTATTTAAACTTAATTTTAAGGCAATAAAAAAGTGTTATCAATTGGAGATTCATTTAATGATATTTAAATGTTTAGATAAGCTAATATCGGAATATAATATTGTCATTTACCAGCTTCTTAATAGTATCTAAAATAAATAACTAAAAGAAAACTCACCTCAAGATTGTCAATGAATAAAATATTGGAAAATCCTTTAAAAAGATAATATAATATTAAAGATATATAAAGAATGGCAACTTCTGATATATGTGTTAACAATTTTGAAGATTTATGTGGATTAATGTTTTTTGAAAGTAGAATATTTGCTGAGGTCTATGATGATTTATTGGTTTTTTCATTCTATAGATCTTTGTTAATACTTTATGCACTCTTTCTTATATATTCTACAAACTGTTCTTAAAATAATTAACTTGTAGAGGGTAGTTGGTTGACAGTTTATCAAAGTTTAATGCTTTTTTTACAATAGATATCAAGTTTAATATCTAAATTAAATGAAAACTATCATGGAGATTCGAAAATGTATCATGAATAATTTAAGATCAACATCAAAACTTTTAAAAAGAAGAAAGTCTTATCATTCATATTTAAAATAAATGGTAATGCCTTATTAGATGCAGTATTGCTATGGTTGACGTGTTTTTCATTATATTATGGAAATATTCAAATTGGAATTATAAGATAAATGTTATTGATTTTGTTAGTTGGAAGTGATTTAGTAAAATTGTGGGTTTCATCAGTATAAAAAGTATTGGCTTGGATTATATTGGTTTTTGCATATTTATTATGTTGGTTAGGAATGTCTTTATTGTCTGTAAAATATACTTTTGATGATAATATAGAAACATTTGAATAATTATTTATAGATCCTTATTATTGGTTTGTATTTGTTTTTTATATTGGCGCTTAATTATGTTTAAGTAGTTGTATAGAAGCAGTTCAACCATTGTTTTGTTAAAGTCTAATTAAAACTGATTAATGTTATGAAGAAATCTCAATTATTTCTTAAAAGGTTAATACTTAAAATAATAAAGGTAATTACAAAAAATATCATAATTTAATTAAAAGAATTGCTGTCATTGCAGGTAAGATATTTAAAAGAAATAATGATGAACTTGATTTATCGATTTAAGAAATGGTTTCTGGAACTAATTTAAAGGTAAATCAAGATAAAGTCAATCCTTATACTTTGAAATTTATGAATAAAGATACAGAAATGAAATTTAAAAGATTATCAAAAATTCTCTGGTTAAAATTTGAAAGGTATAAGTTAATTATAACTTTGGTATTTTTAGAAGTAATTGCTTTAGTATTATTTGTTGTATATAATTTAGAGCATTTCTCAACAGAATTATATTTCTTAACATATATCTTGGGAATAGCATTATAATTTGTACTATTATTTTTAGTATGCTCAAATATATATCCAAAACATTTCTTTTTCATAAATTTATCAGTTGTGTTCATAAGATTTCTTATAAAATTTATTTGCAATTTAGGAACAACATAAGATGAAGGAATTTATGAATTATTGCTCACTTAAAGTTACATAGTAGTATTATTATTTTCAAGGATACATTTACCAATCATAAATTTTATATTGTGTATTTTATAAGTAATTGGATTTATTAAGAAATACTCAATTATGGAATTTTCTTAAGTATAAATAACATATTATTCATTAATAAATGGAGAAGTAATTGTAATAGCAACAAGTATCTTATTTATGGCTTTATAATATAAATTAATAAGATTAGAAAGAGAAGATTTTATGCTTGATGTGACTCTTAATTAAGAAACATCAAAAATGACAAATGTTCTATCAATATTATTACCAAAATTTATAAGAGATAGAATAAATGCAAGTATATTATAGTAATATATAAAATTTTAGAAGGAATATTTGAGATAAGTGAGAATTAGGGTAATGTTTCAATATTATTTTGTGATATTTGTGGATTTGATGATTTGATAACAGTTGAAAAGGAAAATATAGTAAAGATTTTGGATGGATTGTTCAGATCATTTGATTAATTATGTGCTTAGAATGGAATGTAGAAAGTTGAAACTGTAGGTAAAACATATATGGCAGCAGGCGGTCTTAAAGCAGTAGATTAAGGAACAAAGTTTTATAATTAAAATTGTGTTAAAAGAGTATTATTTATTAATATAATCATAAGGCTGTATAATTGTCATTAGAAATGATGGATCATACTAGAAAGGTGAAATATGGATAGATTGGACATTTAACAATAAAAATAGGAATACATTATGGTAGAGTGATAGCTGGAGTAATAGGACATCACAAACCTTAATTCTCTTTAATTGGTGATACTGTAAATACAACCAGTAGAGTATGTTCAACAGGTTAAGATGGATAAGTTACTCTTTCAAATGAAGCATATTAAGAAATTAATATGCCAGAATTATAATTTACTTAAAGGAAAGTTGCTGCAAAAGGTAAAGGTGAATTAATTACATATTAAGTAAGTAAAGAGATTAAAAGAAATACAGATAAAAAAAATATTAAAAAAAAAGGAGTTATTTTAAAAAGTGAAGAATCAAACAACTTCATCTTCTCACCTCAACCTTCAATCTCAGGTAATCTACCATCTTCTGCAAAATAATCTTCATCATTTGCTTAAAATTCATTAAGAAGATAAGAAAGCATTTAATGTAATTTATAAGATAATGTTACATATAATGTGTAAATTACAAATACTAATAATGATATAATGTAATAACATTCATCTAAATAATCAATTCCAGCATAATAGGATTCCTCTCAAGATGTCTCTAACAGACAGTAATAACAGGATCCAGTTAAATAATTTAAGAGAAAACAAAATCAAAGATAAACTATACTTATGAGATCTATGCCTTCCCAATACTAAACTACAGGATAAATTAAAATAGCTAGCAATTAAAATATTTAATTAGAACCTGATTAAGAACCAAGTCAATTAGAAAAAGAATAATTAGCCTCATATTTTGAAAAATCTAATCTTTTATCAGAAATTTCCTAAAAATTAAGAAGAGATCTTTAAATAGATGTTGTCGATGATTTTCCAGATTATGATATTGAATATGATAAAATTAAAGGTTATTTAGAAGATGACAATAGTAATGTGATAAGTGAATGTTTATAATTAGAGAAAAAAAAATTATATCTTGGATTTAAAGATCATCAATATTAATTGGCTAAAGAATTTACTGAGTAGAATGCTGAAGGTAGAAACATAGTATTTATTTCTATATATTTGCATCTTTTGCAATATCTTGCCAAAACCCTCACTCTTTTTATTCTATTACAATAATCAATTATATCAAATCCTTTTCTGATTATAACCATTCGATTAATTGCAACTATTGTACTTTTGGTTCTCGCATTATTATAAAACAAGAAGTTAAAACATAAGTTTTACTAAGGTTAATATTTTATAGCAACTTATGTGATTCTATTATTTAGCATCTTATTAGAATTTATACTCCTTAATAGTGAAGAATTATTTGAATTATAAGCATCAGAAGGAATCTTGTTAATATGTTTCTTTTGTTCCTTATCTATTGTACAATTAAAACACAAGGTTGCATTTTTATTATTTTTTTGTCTTGCTCAAATAATAATAGTTCTAATTAAATTTAATGATTGGGCAGTGGCATATTATACAATATATTAAGGTATTCTAATGTTCTCAGTTTAATACAATATTTTTTATTAGGATCTAAATACATTTAATAATAAGAGATCTCTTGAAATTAAAAAGACTTAATCTGAAAATTTAGTTAAATATTTATTACCAAATCATATCTTAAAACAATTTTTATCAAATAATTAAAGAGAAGTCTTAGTTGAGTAATTAGAAGAAGCAACATTATTATTTGCTGATATTGCAGGATTCACAGAATACTCTAGTAAAGTAGAACCTGAATAAGTTGTTAATATGTTAAGAAATCTATTTACAGAATTTGATAAAAAATGTTTAACATAAAATACATATAAACTTTATACAATTGGTGATTGTTATGTTGCAGTGGGAATTATTGATATTGGATAAAGAAATCCAGCACAAGAGGCTAAAAACGTTGTTGAATTAGGATTTGGTATGATTGAAATTATTAGAAATGTTAGATAGATTATTGGTTTTGATGGATTAGATATGAGAATTGGAATACATACTGTAAGTCTTATTTAATATTATTAGGGTAAAGTAATTGCAGGAATTCTAGGTACAGAAATCGTCAGGTATGATGTATATGGAGCTGATGTTATGATTTCTAATAAAATGGAATCCAATGGAGAAAAAGGGAGAGTTTAAGTTTCAGAGGAAACAAAAAAATTATTAGAAGCATAATATCCTGGTGCATTTAATTTTATTCATAACAAATTAGTTGAATTCAAATCTATTAATAGACAAACTAATGGTTACTTTGTGGAAACATAAAAAAATGATTCTGGATTTGAAGATTCAAATCAACCTAGTGAAAGAGAATCATTTAAAGTTTGATTCATTTATAAATGTGCTATTATTATAATTTATTTTACAATATTTAAATTAATGATAACCAATTTTCTAAATTAATTAGCCTTTGAAATATAAGGCAAACATTTTTAATCTTATAATTTATATAATATTCAGCTTATATTAAAAAGTTGATCTAAAATAAAAACTTTAAATTAAATTGATTGACAATTCTATATACAATAATATTTTTTTTGATAAACAATTCAAAATTGCATTCATTTCAAAATAATATTCTCAACATATAATTTTTATTTTTTATTTTTGAGCTTTCTGGATCCTACTTTAATAAGTTTCTAAATATCTATCTATAGAATACTCATACTATATTAAAACATTTTGTTATAATTAAATAATTAGATAGATTTAATTAAATATAATTACTAGTAAAAATATTATATTGGATGTGGCGGTTTTACTTATAGTTTTTGTAAAAGTTTGATGGTTTGATAAAAAAATCGAAATAAATCAACTCAGTTACAAACCTGTAATCGAGATTATTGCTAAAATAAATGAGACATTGCCAAATAAAATTAATAAAAATAGAACGAATTTAAATCATTTTCATAATATAAAAAATTTTAGTAATTGCTAGCAAATTTAAAAAACTAAGAAATTAAAATGAATTTTCTTAAAAAATAAGACAAATTAATTTTTAAATAAGTTTAGATCACATTTAAGTAATTAAAATGTTTAGTAAATCTAATTTCAGTTTAAAGATTAGAATTAAACGAATTTTAGAACCATTAGCAACAAAAATATCCTTCTCTTCTTTTACTTACTTGATTTTTTATTTTATTCTTTTAATTAAACAGTAAAAAATAACTGAACTCTTATTAATCGTAAATATCTGATATATAAATTATAAATAATAATATTTTTATGGATTTCCTTATTTTTAAAACAAAATGTTTTCAAATTTAAAAAAAATAATTCTACTTATCATTTAATCAATTAAAGTTGTATATTATCTAAATTTTTTTGTTTTACTCAATGGATCTTAATCAATTTTAATTTTCGAAAATAAATTTTTCTAATAGTTATCTTTAAAAATCAGAAGAAAATTTTCAATTAATTTATTTTTATCAAAGCCCAGAAAGAAAAATAAATTGAATTTAAGTATAAGAATTTTTTGAAGTATATAATTCAAAACCACATTCTTTATTTAAGCTTAATAATGCTTGGTGAAATTTTAGACAAATGGAAAATATAGTATTTTTTAATAAAACATTTAAGATCATGCATTTGTATTCTGAAGAATATTTGTTGTATATATATTTTATATAAATAAATTAAAATCTTTAAATAATAACTTTTATTTGGAAATAATCAGTTACTTTTTAGCTTATTAATTGAATGTTNTATTAAAATCAAAAAATTGATTCTCTCTTTTTTTATTCGAGACATCAATATCTATAGAATACTCATACTATATTAAAACATTTTGTTATAATTAAATAATTAGATAGATTTAATTAAATATAATTACTAGTAAAAATATTATATTGGATGTGGCGGTTTTACTTATAGTTTTTGTAAAAGTTTGATGGTTTGATAAAAAAATCGAAATAAATCAACTCAGTTACAAACCTGTAATCGAGATTATTGCTAAAATAAATGAGACATTGCCAAATAAAATTAATAAAAATAGAACGAATTTAAATCATTTTCATAATATAAAAAATTTTAGTAATTGCTAGCAAATTTAAAAAACTAAGAAATTAAAATGAATTTTCTTAAAAAATAAGACAAATTAATTTTTAAATAAGTTTAGATCACATTTAAGTAATTAAAATGTTTAGTAAATCTAATTTCAGTTTAAAGATTAGAATTAAACGAATTTTAGAACCATTAGCAACAAAAATATCCTTCTCTTCTTTTACTTACTTGATTTTTTATTTTATTCTTTTAATTAAACAGTAAAAAATAACTGAACTCTTATTAATCGTAAATATCTGATATATAAATTATAAATAATAATATTTTTATGGATTTCCTTATTTTTAAAACAAAATGTTTTCAAATTTAAAAAAAATAATTCTACTTATCATTTAATCAATTAAAGTTGTATATTATCTAAATTTTTTTGTTTTACTCAATGGATCTTAATCAATTTTAATTTTCGAAAATAAATTTTTCTAATAGTTATCTTTAAAAATCAGAAGAAAATTTTCAATTAATTTATTTTTATCAAAGCCCAGAAAGAAAAATAAATTGAATTTAAGTATAAGAATTTTTTGAAGTATATAATTCAAAACCACATTCTTTATTTAAGCTTAATAATGCTTGGTGAAATTTTAGACAAATGGAAAATATAGTATTTTTTAATAAAACATTTAAGATCATGCATTTGTATTCTGAAGAATATTTGTTGTATATATATTTTATATAAATAAATTAAAATCTTTAAATAATAACTTTTATTTGGAAATAATCAGTTACTTTTTAGCTTATTAATTGAATGTTGGAATCTATATTTTTAAACAAAAGAATTTTAAAAATTTTCAAAAGATACATAATAATAGAGATAGAATTTTTTGAAAACTATTATATTATACAAATCGACTGAAAAAATAAACATATGTAGCCACATTATTAAAGTTAGAATAAAAAGCAACTGGATTATTCATTTTATTTTGATTATTTGATTTAATGATTAGAATGATAGATTTTTTAGTCTAAATATTTGATATATTAATCGGTTATGTTATTACTAATTTTTAAAGTAGACTTGGTAATTAAAGTATTTTAATTTTGAAAAGATAAACGAGAATAATCTTTTTAGACATATATTTCTAAAATTAATAGCAATTTAATTATAGATTGAGGTCTTTTATTCCAATTCAATAATATAAATTTTGATAAATAAATTATAATAATAAAAATTAACAAATGGGTATTTGCCAAGGCACAAGATCACCATCAAATAAGTAATAAGAAAATAAATAAAATCATCCTTAAGAAGTAAACTCTGATATTTTGATTATTGGATAGGAAAAATAAAAAACTGAAAACTTAGTTCCTAATCAGATAGATCCAATTCTATTGTAATAAATAGAATAATTACCTATAATATTTAGCCTGTCTTTTGATAAAGATGGATAAAATTTGATCCTAGCAACAGAGAGAGATCTTTCAATTTTTAAATATTAGAATGGATAGTTTCAACTTCAAATTAATAAAAAAGAGTAGGCAACTGCAATAGTTTTAAGTAAAAAAGTTGATTGGTTTGCATATTCAGCCCATCAAGAAGGTTTAAAGTGTTGTATAAAAAAAAATGATAATTATTGGGAAACTTCAGATGCAGAAAGATATGTGGGGTAATATATATTCTGCTTAGTATTAAATAACGATGAAAATGAATTAATCTCTGCTGTTGAAGACTATGGAATTTATTTTTGGAATGTAAATTGTTTAGATAATAAAATAAAATAATCCAATATACGCTTGCTTCTAAATAACATAACCACTCTTTGTTTAAATCCATCAGAGAATTTATTAGTATCATCAACTTATTCCTCAATAATTATGCTTTGGGGAAAATTCGAAAATAATAAATGGGAACGTATGTATGATTTGGAGCCTCCTCTTAAATTTAATCAAGCTAGATCAATAAGTTTTATTACTGATGATACTTTGGTATTATAAGATTATCAAATAGATTATGTTTATGTTTATAAATTACTAGATGGAATCTTCGTTATTGCTTAAACAATTGAATCATAAAATAAATATTGCAAAAATACATTTATGAATGTTAGTGGAGGGTTTCCAAAAATTTACAATAAAAAAAGAAAGCTACTTTATTTGAGACATTAAAGTTAAATCAAATTTTTTACCTAATAAAATAATAACCTCTTATTTTAACAAATACCAGACTATATTTAATTTGATGATTTTAAAGTTTATAATTTAGTTATGAGTGATAACGGGAAATTCTTAGCTGTATGTGGATTTATGGACAAAATGTTAATTTATTAATTGATTATGGATTGACACTATTTAATATAAATAAATAATAATCATATTTAATAAAAAGTAATAAGAAATATTTTTGTCAAACATTAATCACTAAAAATATGTTGATATTTGATAAGATTATTTTTAATTTTATTTACCAACTTCAAAATAATAATATTAATTTGATAAATCAAACACAAAAATATATTATTATTATCCTTTTCTCTGAATCAAGTTTAACTAATTTCTAGTTTACAAAAAAGACGATCAAGATAAGCTAAACTTCTATATAATTTCAATATTAATAATGAATATATCTAATCTATCTATCTTACTAATTCTTGTCTACATTTTTACATTATTACTTTCCATATTAATAATTTTCATAAGCTTACCTTTTTATAGTCTTCATAACTCTTTTCCTGTTCTAATTTTTCTGTATTATAAATATGCTTATTTTAAGACTTTTTATTTTTCATCTAAAATTGTATCCATTTTACAATATTTATCTTTGTTTATATAATTCATTAATTTAATCAGTTCTTTTTATGGTAACTTAAAATTTCTTTTGATGATCAACAAGTTTTTTTAATAAAATAACTTATAAGTATCTATTATGTTATAAATATATATAATTTTTAATATATAAATGTAATTTATTTATAGGCATAATAATTAATAAAAATTGATAAACTAATTTATAAATCAAATATTTTAATTTCATTTAAATTATATGCATATTAAATAGCTTAATCATAAATCACTTCTTCAATTTTTTTTAGCATCCATCTTTTAATAAGAAATAGTGATACCTCTTCTGTTAGCTGTCCATTTATCATTTGGTTTTATCTATAAAGATTTTTCATAATATATCATAGCTTCTGAATATTATTATAAATCCTCTAAGCAAGCTCCTAAAAAATCAATTACAACATTTGCCTTTGCATGAAAGTGAAAATGTATTATCAGGACTAATATTAAGAGATAAATCAAAGTATTTTAAAGCATCTTTAAAATTATTAATTTATCTTAAACAATAACCTTATTAAATTATTATAAATTAACCTTTTTCATTTAAAGATACAACATGACTAGGATCAATCTTCAATGCATAATCTAACCAAGTAATGGCATTATAATACTACTTGAGCAATCTTAAGCATTAACCTAAAAGTTTAAGTGGTTACTTACCTTTTTAACTTAAAGATATAACATGATTTGGATCAATGTTTAAAGCTTTATCAAACCAAATAATTGCATCTTCATATTCATTCAAATTTCTTAAGCATTAACCTAAACTTTTTTTATTTATTATAACCTTTTTAAGTTAAGGTAGTTACATCATTTGGATCAATACTTAATGCCTTATCTAAACAAATAATTGCATCTTAATATTTATTAAGATTTTTTAAACAAGTTCCTTTTAATAAAACATATTATCACCTTTACACCATAATGAATCAACATTATTTGGATCCAACTCAAGAACTTGATCAAGATTTTAAATTGCCTCTACATACTTTTTTTCATCCCAACATAATTTATAAGCTTAGATTTAATCTTTTTTTATACCTTTCTCATATAATTCCCTTTATCTTTATTTTTAACACATATAATTCTCATTATATTTCAACTATGATAATTGTAATTCTTGGTATAATTTCTCAAATATTTTTTTAATTTGAAATATTTCTTCTTCTATTATTGTTATAATTTATGATTTATATTCTGGAAGTTTAATCATTTAATTCACTAAATCATTTAATTATTAAGACTTTAATTATGGTAATTAAGCTTATTAGAAATAATATTTATTTTTGATTCCCATAATTAATTTGGAAAATGATTAATTTATAGAACTTATGTATTAGTTAATTTGTTCAATCAAATCTTCACATTCTTTATTTTTCACTTCTACAAAATCATACAAACTATCTAATTTTTTAACATTTTAAGGATGAGCAGAATGATAACCTTGTTGATAACATGTAAAGCAACTCAATCTCATTTCTGTACAAAATTCATTAAAACAAATAGTTTCAATGTTTCCTTTATGTTCATTTCTAATGCATTTTAAATTTTCTATAAGTTATTATATAATTTAATATAATAATTTATCACATCAATTTAAAATATGATACTAATTAAATCTAAATTAAATGACTCTACTACTAGAAATAAAATCTAAATAAGAATGTTTAATCAAATAGCTAATGATTTTTAGATTTTATTAAAAAATTTTGTTTTAAAATCTCTAGATATTAATTCAATACTTAAAAAAAAATTTTTAATCTTGTTAGAATAGAAGTGATTTTAAGAAATTTTTAATATCTTTTCTTATATCAATACTTAATTTTTTATAAAATAATTTTTTATATAATAATACGTTACTTATATTTCATTCTCACATTTAATTTTTTTACATACTCCTCTTATCTTTGATATATCTTTTGTGTCTTATAAATAATATAATCAAAATTAAATTTATTATTTCAACAATAATGATTTTCTAAGTAGAATTTAGATAATTGTCTTCCAAAGTTATATGAACTAAAATTTCAGCTTCAGATACATCATTATTAGCATATAAAATAAAATTAAAGCTCGCATTTGAATTATTCATTAAATCAATTTCATATTTTATTTTTCCTAAGTATGCTATTGATTAATTTATAAAAATAAAATGTGTAGTATTAAAACTAATAATTTGAATTTGAGAATCTAAGCGATAAATATAATCATAATATATTCTTTCTTCTTAAAGAACATAAAAAAAAGTACGATTTTATTATATTTATTTGAAAACTAAATAATTTAAATCCACATATTCAACTTTTAATTAAAAAAATGATACAGGATTCCTTATATATTTTGTTAATTGTTAATGAATTATAGAACCATTCTAAATATCAATTGATATATTAATTATAAAGGAGCCCTAGTTATTCATCAATAAAAGAGTTACTACTACAAGATTGCCATTCATTATACATGAAACTAACTTAATTTTATTAGAACTTTCATTTTCCTTAAAAAAGTTTGGTAATAACGTAGAAACTTCTTTGGTAATTAATTATGAGAATATCTCATTATACTTATTTGTATTAATTTAATAAATTTTTAATAATACATTAGATTTTGATCTATAATCCTACAATTATAAAGCAGTAAAGTAATCTAATGATTATTCTATAAATTTAATATCAAATATCATATCTGGAAGATTAACAACATGAAAAGTTTAATCTTAAACCAATAAATAAATCTGTTTTTATTGATTCTGTAATCTTACTAAATTTTAAGTTTTGGAAATATCTTCAAAAATGATTGGTTCAGTTTTAAAAGTTAACTTTTAAATTTCATTACAATTTTCATTCTCCTCTATAAAACACTAAAGTAATTGAATTTCTAATATTTCTTATAATTAAGAAAACAACAAAAAATAATTATTTATAATCCATAATATTTAGATTTGAATATTTTATAAACTCTTTTAGACAAACGCAACCAATATTTTGTCTCTTTAAAAAATCACTGAAAAGGAAATCTTTATGGCCCAATCTTCCATTTATTTTAACAATTTCACTTGCTTAACACATAAATTTAATTCTTTTAAGCAATTCATAATTTATAAGGCAGATTAAAAAGGTCGTGCTAATTAAATTTAGGGGTTATTTTTAATTTGTAAATTATGTATTGGACCTGAAAAATATTCAGAAATATTTATTTATAATATTTACTCTTTCTTTAATTGATAAGAAATAGTATAATTAATAGGATATAAACGATAACATTCATTTTAAATCGTGAGCTTTAGATTTATATTATCTTCATATTAATAATTTGACCTTAAATTTAATTAATAAGATGAAAAAAATGGTTTATAGATGCTCATATTTGTTTATACAATAATCAACATTTCATTTAAGTAATGTTACATCAGTTATTTATTTTTCAAATAAAATAATTTATTTTGGTAAAACTCAAAATAGTTATCATCAATAAAAATAATATCATGCAATTTGATTAAAGTATTAATAAAAGAATAGAGAGCTATGTTAAAAGATTAATTTTGTTTAATTTAAATCACCAAATACTAAATGTTAACTATGTACTTTAAAGGATTTGAGTAATTATATTCTTTTAAAGTATAATTAAAGATCTAATTTATTTCAAAGTAATCAAGGTGATAAAGTATTAATGAATTAGTTTCAATTTGTATTCCCAAAACTTAAAAGTGACCTGGTATCCAATTTATAATTTATATAATTTAAATCCCTGAAAATTAAAAACATTTAACCTCTCCCTTTAATTCTACAGCAAAAATATTCGGATATTAAATGAATTTATGAGGTCCTAGTTATGAATAATAAAGAATTTATTCCTATTAATAAAGATTTTCAGAAAGATATTCCTCTTAAATTTATTGAAATTAATTAGAATGTATTATTAATGGAAACTTTTAATTTTTAACATAAATTATTATTTATTGTTAAATTTAAATTTGTTCTACTCTTATGATTTCAATATTAGTTTATTCAAAAATTTCATTCAAGAACCCTTTGATAAATTTAATTACTTTTAATTTTTTCCCATTTTTGTCAATTAGATAATAATCACCAAAATATTCAAATACTTCATACTATTAAGTATTTATGCTTAGTTATATATTATTTTCTAAACAATTTAAGAAATTTATTGTATTTTCATCTTAAAAAATTAAATTTAGAGATTTAATAGATCTTAATTTAATATTTTTTTTGAAATTATATCTTTTTAATTTGGAGTAACATAAATTATCTGATTATGCCTCATTCCAAATACTTACGTTTACTAATCCAGTTATTTTATTCTCAAAAATAAATTCATTTTATAAAGTTGATTAAAATGATGCAAAAGATAGTTGAGTTTTCTAATTATCTTCACAATTTTTGTAGATTGTATCTTAAAATTCAAGTTTCTGCCTCGAATTTTCATATAAAATTTGAAAGCACTTTAAAAATGATTTTTCAGCAAAATCATTAAATCTTCTAATAACATATAAAAATTTTTATTTTGGTTCAATATATCCACTAAGTGGGTAATATCTATAGAATTATAGTCTATTTTAAACTTTATCAATTTAATAAATTAAATTATCTTATTCTAAGAAATTTAATGTTGTATTCAAAATTAGATGTTTTTATTATAGGTGTTCATCTATAATGATAATTAATTCGTTTTAATTTTATAGAAAAAGAAAACCTGAAAAAAATTGAATGTTATCAGAATTGTAAGTTTCTTATAATATAATTTCTTTATTTTAATAATTAAATTAATACTTGTTTATCTCTTTTAAATATGTGATTAAAACAATTTTTGAGCAAATTTAAAACATTATTAATTTTTATATTTAATGAATTCTCTTAAACAAAAATGGAAATACTTCTTAATGATTTTATTACCAACTAAATTGAAGATAATGATATCCTTCTATAAGATATATTATAAATAATCCTTATTAACAAAATTGTACATCATCAATTGTAGAGAATTGTACAAGAAAATAATCATATTCTTACATACCAGGTTCCATAATTATTCTTTATTCCTAATTATTGATTTCAAAAATTTTCCATTAAGAACATTAAAAAAAAGCAATCAAAAACTAATCATTCTCGATGAGTTTATACTATTTTTTCTTGCAATTGTCTTAAATTTATTTTGAAACATCATATTCATATAAAAGATAAATGTCACCTAATTTACTTACAAAATATTATTTTAAATTAAATTAAGTTAAACAAAATATAATAAAGTTTCCATCATTGAGTTAGTAGATTTCATCACAATTCTCTTCTGAAGATATTTTAGTCTCTATTCTAATCTCTTCTAATTAATTCTCATTTATTTCATATTTTAACGAATCAAAAGTTATACATGTTATATAATATTTAAAATTTAGAGATAATGAGCATATTAGTTTCTAATAAATTATATCTTTCTTGTATGATTTGAATATTTTAATTTAGATTGGTAAATCTGTGAAAGGTAGAGTGAATGATTTTGAAATAATTTCTTTATCAATACTTTTAAGATTATAATAATCTTCTTCATTTCCTTCTAAAATATAGCAATCATTATACTATTTATAACATGTCAGTTTCTGTTCTAATTGCTAAATCTCACAGGTAACTGCTTTGGAATTTATTTGAAAAATATAGAATCCTAAAATTAAAAAATTAAAATACATATTCTTTATAAATATATTAAAAAATGTAATAAAAACTCAAAATATCAATGAAATTATTTAAAACAATTGAGTTAAGTAATGCTAAATAATATTTATATTTGGCTAGAATTCATATAAAATTTAAGACATTTGATAAGAAATGGTTAAACTTTATATCATTAATTAATACTCAAATGAACTGAATATTATTTTACCAATAATTTATTTATTTTTGAATAATCGAATATTATATTGAATACCATATTAAAATATTAGATAATAATTTTGAATATTAAAAGCTAACTTAAATGTAAAATAACAACAATAATATATTTTTCTTAGAATGATAACCGTAACATAATGGAAGATATAATTTGCATATAAATATTAAAAATATTTAATTGTTAAATTTCTCATACAAGGATTTCAATTTGTTTTAAAGGATGGCTCAAATTTAAATACAATTAATAACTTTAAAATAAAGAATTGATTTAAATGTTAATGAATTTCCTTTAAATGTAACTTTTAAGATACCTTGATTTAATTATGTTGAAAGAAAATGAGAAAGAAAATTAAATATTATTTAATTAAGTACTAAATTGAAAATTTTAATTTAAATAATATACGTTAATCAAAAGCTTTTCAATAATTTAATTTTACAAAATTTATATTTCAAAAATAATTATTAATTGATTTTAGTGCTAACTCTTTTCTTATTAGTTTATAAAATAAGCATTTTAAGTCACTTATTTGTTCCTTAAATATAAATTAATATTAGAGGATTTTTATAATTAAACTAGTTATTTTAATACTATTATTATTAAATGAGAGCTATGTTAATAAACCTTATTTGTATATTAATTTTTTAATAGTTATTTATTCACAAAATTAAATATTTCTAAATTTTATTAGTTAATTTTTTGTTTAATCGAAACTTATATTATTTACAATATATTTTGAATGAAAGAATTCTTTAAATTTAATCAATTTTAGGATATTATTAACCAAGTATATAAATGGAATAATTTAGCAAGATAATATCTAAAATGATATAGTGATAAAAATATCTAAAATAACTAGATTTATGATTATTTAGAGATAGAAAATTTATAATAAAGACTTTGTAAATATGATTGAATTAATAATAATAATAAATGAATATTTAAAAATCAATTATCTGTTACTGTTTATATTGCAGTATTGATTGAACCATCTTAAAACTCATAAATTTTTGTAATCCTTATTATAAATTATCCATTTTAAATAGTATATTTTTTAAAGGTTTGTGTTTTTTTTAATTCAGGTCTAGGGTATTTGATATATGGATTATTATCTAATTGTAGAAGAATAAATACTTTGATTTTCTTCAGCAGGTCCAAGTTTTTCTGAAATTTCTTATTATTTTAAAACACCTTTAGGTTTAAATTCTTACACAAATGCAAGTACACAGAGTGTTCCATATTATGAATGATTACCAGTTGCAATTCCAACACTATTAAATTAAGATTTAAAACAATCCTAACGTTGTTTTCTTTAAGATTCTCCATCATCAATTAATAATTATAAAATAACATCTTATCCTGTTTTTTAACCAAAACTAATATTTTCTGCTGAAATACCATTACATTCTCCATATTATTAAATTCTATTAATAAATGTTTATCCATTAGAACTAAGATGATCACAAATACCTTTTGGTCCGATATCATTAATATGATCAATACAAGCTTATTCTAAACCTCTTTCAAATTTTAAAAGTGATAATGGTTTTTACTGTTCTAAATATTAAATTAATTCTAAAAAATAATTAATAATAATACCTTCTAAAACTTTAGGACCTTCTTTTGTTAATACTGGTATTTCACCAGGTTTATAACAAACTAAACCTTTAAAATAAGTAATTAATTCTTTTATTTTTGGAATGGCTATTTTAGGATCTTATCTAATTTAATTCAAATATTCAAATGCTTCTATAGCAATATTTGTCACTGAATCTTATTATTATTAGTTTTTAAAAGAATCCTATTATTTAGATTAAATATTAGAATCATTTTATTTTTATTTTTATGTTTAAAAATCATTCATTCCATTTTTATCTAAATATGTAGCTGCAAAAACAAAGATACAAACACTTTTATTAATTTTATGTTAACCATCATAAATTCCTACAAAACCAAATTCAGATTTAAATAAGTTTTTTCTTCGTAATCTTGATGAAACACCATCATCAATAATTGATTATATTATTACTATAATATTTAAATTAATAATATATACCATCTTCTCCTGTATTTTAACCAAATATAATATTTTCACTTACTGTCATTTCCCATTCACCATATCTTTCAATTCTATCACTCATAGATGATCCATCAGAACCATTATGACCTATTAAACCTTTAGATCCTATATCTTTAACATGATCTCTTGCTGCAGATTCTAAACCTTTACTCCATTTTAATTCACCTATAGATTTCTGATTATTTAGAAATTCTATACATTCTTAATATATATTTATATTCATTATATATTTACCATTAACAGCTGAATCACCTTCATTTGTTATAATTGCAATTTCTCCTGGTTTATAAAGAGTTTTCCCTTTAAAATACTATAAAAGTTCTTATAACTTAGGAATTGCTATCTTTGGATCTTTACGAACCTTATTCAAATATTCAAAAGCTTCCTTTGAAATTTTGTTCATTAAAATTACTATTTATAACCTTCAAAATCAATTTCAGTTTTATAATATAAATTTTCCTTTTTTTACAATTATTATATACAAAACATATAATACTTAATATCTCCTCAAAATGCATTTTCAATCATTTCTAAATTCTACTTTCATTATAAAATGTTGAATTTTCATGCTAATTTCAAATTACTTCATAATTTTCAAGTACTAAGTTTCTACTGAACATTTTATAAATAAGTAATTTAATATTACTACTGACTTTAATTATAATTTTTATTTTTATCGTTACAAACATAATTATTTTATAACAAAAATAAAATTATGATTTTAAATAAAATAAAAAATTTAATGGTTGAAACCAATTTCTATGAATTCTATGATGACTAAATAGAAAAAAAAATGAATCAGAGAGAATCTATAATCTCAGTTTTTCTTTATTAGAATATAAAGGATTAATATTAATTAAGAGGAGGTGGTTGTGGAAGTGCTAAAATATCTAATTAAGAATCTGCAAAAGTACCTATCAATTTTGCAAATCTACTCAAAAGATATGCTATTACTATAGAAGAGAAAGCCTTAACATTTTAAGATAAATTTTAAAGAGAAGATGTACTCATTGCTTTTTTGTGGTTTCAAAATAATCGAATCAATTTTTAATCTCTCTGTTAAGATGAAAAGCTTTGTTAACAATATTTAGAATTACTTCTTTTTATTATTGAAAAAATATTGAAATCTTCAATTCAATATTTAAAAGTTTCAGGATTTCTTTTTCATTAGCTTCTTTAAATTTGTAATGACTCATTAAGAGTACTTTTTTCTTCATAATAAAAGAATAATGATAGATATCTTGATCAAAATAAAAAAACATTGTTTTTAGGTTTTATTGCTGAAATTGAAACATAAATTGATATAGAATCATAAAATATTTGGATGAATGGTATTAAATTTGAACTATAAATGATGAAAACTTGTTTATCTCATTGTAGAACAAATTCTGAAAAAGGAAAAGAATTATTCTTAGGTTTATTAAATGGTATTGTTTCATCAATTACTTCTTTATAACCAAGTGAAGAATTAATTCAATCACTTATTGAAGGAGCTAAATTTCTATTATAAAACTTTTATGATTAACAAATCTAGCATCCTCTTAAAAAATATGAAGTTTATTATTTTTTTGAAAACTTAAAATGGTAGATAATTAAATAAGTATAATTAGGATTTTCAGTATAAAATATTATTAATTAACTTGAAGATGGTTATATTAAATATATTAAGAAATCAAAAGAATGGATGATTCATTATTGTTGGATATCTATGATTTCAGATTTAATTAGATATCGACCTATTATTCATAAAGATGATATTTAAAAACGTTCTTTTAATTAAAAAACAAAATAACATATGTGGAATCAATTAATTCAAGACAAAATCATTGAAATATTACCCTATGATAAGAATTTGGCTAGAGTAAGAATCTTTATAGGTGAATCCAGTCATTTAAATTTATTTTCTGAAATTAAACTTCTATAAGAATATTTATTAAATGAAAACTCTTTCAAAATGAAACTATTACCTTAATATATAAACTTTGAATTTGATAACGATGAAAATTAAAAAGCTGATTATTATGATGAAATAATATAAATGTTATTCAATAATTAGGAATCAGAAGTAATTAATAAACTTATTTATTTACTTGATCTTACAAATTAAAAGTTAAAGCTCTCAATCATTTAAATCTTTCAAAAAATTAAAAAATTTTATTCTCAAGAAAAATCTTCAGATATTATCATAAGAATATTGATTTAAGACACTTCTTTGTTAATTAAAAGTTCTAAGAAATTAATTATGAAAATTTATTATATCTTTTTAGAATTAGAAGTTTAATTTTTTAAATGCAGAGAAAAAAATTAAGAACTAATTAAATTTCTCTAGTTTAATTAAATAACAATAGCAGATGAATTTACAAAAAACCTTTAAATTTATATAGATGAAGATAAAAAAGCAGAACATTAATTTTATCAGAATTTTTTATAAATTTTAAAAGTTTCTTTAGATTTTCTTGATTATTTGATTTTTTGTAAAACAAAATTATCATAAGCTCATAATATTTAAATTAGTAAAGTAGAAATAGAAAAAAAATAAAGTTAAATAAATTTTTTAAATTTAGAGACTTATATTACTAATTAATGTAAGTTAGCTTAAACTATAAACTAATCTATACAAATATTTAAATTAAAGATTTAAAAACACTTGCAAGCTAAGGAGGCTAATTTTATTTTGAATTAAAATATGAATTTAGATTAATTTAAACATATCTTTTTTTCAATTTACAATCCAAATGTATTCAGAAAAATTCTTGAAGAATTTAATATCTTATTTTTATAAGTTTAAAGAAATCTCAGAAATGATTTAGATTCATAAATATAGAATACTAAAACAATTTTATTTTTAATTTTGATAAAGAAATTTTAAAGAAGATTAATTTCGATTTAAAAATTAAAATTTTATCAATTAAATGAACAATTATAAAATGAAATCGAAGAATTATAAAATTCTTAAAAAAAAGAATCAAATACTGACAATGTAAAAAAAGAAATTTCAGAAAATGTTTATAATTAAATTTTTTTACAATAAAAAATGCTCTCAGAATTATTTACAAATATCCTTAATTAAACGTTTGAATAAATTTAAAAATAAAAATTAATATAAAAATTGAATGAAGATATATAATTTTTTTAAAGTAAGTATCCTCATAATCCTGAATCCAAATAATTTATTTTATTATGTGAAACTGTAAAGTTAAAATTAACATATTTTTAATAAAGTAATTTATAGGAGGAAACTCAAAATAAAATTTTAGAATGCTACAATTCCTTCTTAAATAAAATAAAAGATTCAGCTCAAACGGAAAGTACAATAAGCAATTCAAGTGTTTAATAAGAAGAAAATATTAAGTAAATATTAAATATTAAATAACTTAATTTGTCTAAATTAATTGTTTATTTCAAAGATTAAATAAATGAAATTGATTAAAAAATGGCATTACTTAAGTAAATATTTAATCTAATTGTCAAATTTTCGAATAATGCAATTGAAAATCAAAATTAATAAGAATAAGATTATATATAGCTTATAAAAACATAAGAAATAGATACTATTATAGAGTTATTTACAAACTTAAATATAAAAAAGGAATTGGACATTAAAGAATTGTTAGAGTTCAATAATATTGTTTTAGATGAAGATATTTCAAATAATTCAATAAAAAATTAAAAGCCAGCAAAAATTTCTGAACTATTAACTATTGAACCATTTTCAGTCTATTTATTTTTATTCGATATAAATCTCAATATAACTTCATTATTTGAGAAGAATTAAGAAATGTAAGTAGATGTTGATTAAACTTTTTAAGATCTTATAATAGAGCTTAATTAGGATGAAACATAAAATTAGTAATAATCAGTATTCAATACTCTCAATGTAAGAGATAATATTTCACAAAATTTTATCAAATAATCTTACAAAGTACGTGAATGCCTTGTTTATAATCTTATTGTAATTTAAAATTATGTTTAAGAAAACTAAATATATTTAAAGACATAATAACTTATTAAGTAAGTATGGATATAAGAAAAAGATTCAAATGTCAGAAGTATATTAAAAAATTAAGAATTGCTAGAGATGTAAAAATAATTATTTTCAAAAGATTTAAAATCATTTGCTTTTTTAATTTAAAAAGATTTTGAGAAATCAAGAAAAAAGATTGAGGAACTGGAAGAAGTTCTTTTAACTGAAGATAATAAGGGGGAAATTTAGAGTCAAATTTAATAGGCTTATTAAGATTTTGAAAATAAGTTAGAAAATATAATTGATATGTCTTAAAAATTAGATATTAGTTTGATATTTCTTAAAGATATTAGTAAAGATTTAAAAAATCTTAAAGCTAAAATGGATAAATTATTATCTTAAGTAAATTCAATTGAAAGTGATATTAGAATTTTAAGAGGAAAGCACTTTTCAGAATTATTACGAATTAGAAAATAAAAAGTATTAAGAACAAAAATAGAAAATTAAATAGATTAAATTCACATTGAATTGGAAACATAGGAATATGATCCAACAAGTGGAAAAAAAAGAGAGGAAAAATCAATGTTATTTTAAAAAAAATTTGATGATTTTTCAGGAGAAATAAATGAATTTTTATGGGAGATGAAAGAGAGAAAAAAGGATATAATGTTAATAAAAGGAAAAGCTGGTTCTGGAAAAAGCAGAGCTGCAAAAAATGTTGAAGAATATATTTGGATGAATGATTAATAAGAACCAAATTGGATACCAATTTATATTTCTTTACCATAAATAAAATATCCTTAACATAATTTAATTGATTAAGGTTTAGAAACAGAAAATTACAAATTTGATAAAATTTAAATAAGAGAATTTAAAGAAGCAATAATCAAAGGAATTTTAAAAGTGATTTTTATTTTAGATAGTTATGACGAAATGAAATCAGAATTAATAGAATCAAATTTATATTTAACAAATAGATTCTTTTAAGAATATGAATTACTTATGACGGGAACAAAAATGAAATTTATTATAACAACTAGAGAAGAAATATTATCTTCTATAGGATATCAAACTTGGTTTTATGGAAGTAAATTAGAAAACTTAAAGGAAGTAGAGTTACTTCCATTTAACAAAAATTAAACTAATGAATATATTAAATAATATATAACACTTAGTGTAAAAAGAACTGTAAAAGGATATTATGAATACTATAATTAAATTTAAGGAAAAAACTTTTCATATTCTGAATATTAATCTATATGGTCTTAATTAGAACCAATTTTTAATAAATTGAGAGATTTAGAATTGAACTAAAATTCGCGATTATAAATATTTTCAGAGGCAACTGTTTAAATTTTTATATCTGCAATAAAAAAAGATAATTGTTTAAAGAACTTAAATAATAAATAGCTTTTATCAATGTAAAAGGAATTGCTTTCACTATGGGGAGAAGAATAATTCTAAAGAACAATAAATAATGCATAGATAAGGCTATTATTGACAACACCATTTATGAATGAGATAATGGTTCAAATAATACCTAAAATGGCCTAATAATATTCTTCTGCTGAAGTAATAAAAAATACTCTAATGAAAAATTATAAGAAATTGAAGTTATATTAAATTGAGTCTAATGAAATTAGAGATCTTTAGGAAATTTAGGTTACAAGTTTTGAAGCTTATTAAAAAAATATATAACAATAATAATTGAAAAATGAATATAGAATGAAAAAGAATTAACTTGATTCAGATTTGAAGAATATAGTAAGGAAATTAGATGACAATAATTTTTTTGAGAGTTTTTCAATATCTAATATAATAGATTTCTTAGATAAAGATACTTTAATATCTAATTAAGAAGTGATTACTTTGCCAAATGAAGCTGAATTAATTTCTTAAGCATTAAATTATAATCAACTCACACCTTATGATTTCTATTGTATGTTTATAAACTACTATCATAATTAGCAATTATTAAAGTGGAGAGATTAAGGTTAAATAAGAAATCTTGAAAGTATGATGATAGATATACAAGATTTTTCAACCTACTTGGCATTAGATATGTCTTTAAGAGAAATAAGTTCGATTAATTATAAATAAAAGGGAAAACTTGATCTTTAACATACAAAAGATGATGGTAAATAATATGGATCATGGGAAGATTGTTATTTTAATGAACATCTTTCAGATTCTGAATATAAATAATTTATTAGAAAATGTAGCTTAATTTAAAGTAAAGGAAGTAATCACTCTTTTAATCATAAATCTATTTAAGAGTTTTTTGTTGCTTAATATATTTTGCAACTATTTGAAAGTATACAATTGTAAAAAACAGATAATTAAAGTTTGTCTGTATCAAATACAGATTTAAAAAAAATTGAGAAAAGTTTTTACAATAAGGATTAATTCAACATTTCTTAAGATCATTATTAAGGAGCAATAACTCTTTTGAAAGAAAAGCTTAAACATATAGAAAATATTAAACAAAAATTAATCTATTATGTATAATTGTCAAAATAAACTACTTAATATGTATTTAACAGAGCTGCTTCCAATTCAATGTAGCTTTTAAATATTTTAGATGAATATCTTGGAGATTAAAATTTTAATTCAATAGGTTTATCTGATATTAAATTAAATGGATTAAGTTTTAGTGGTAGTGATTTATCAAAAACACATTTTGAAAATGTTTAAATAGATGCTTGTAATTTTAATAATTGCAAAATGATTGAAGTTTAATGGAATAATATTATTTGTAAAGAATAACCTTTTATAAAAGCTCATGATAATTAAATAATTTTTTTTTATTTAAATAATGATGAAACTAAAATTGTTACAATTAGTGAGGGTATACTCAAAATATGGAATTATGATGATGATTAAAATCAATTGAAAATTTTAAATGAAGCAAAACATAATTTTAAGTAAGTTTTCTCAATTTACCTATTCTCAAAATTTAATTAAATAATATTTCACTATGAAATAAATAAACCAAATAAAAAGTATTTTTCTTTATAATCCACTATTAAAAATTCTAATGAATAATTTCAAATTATTATTAGCTATTTATGTGATAGATATTCAATTAGTAATGAAGAATAAACAATAGCATTTATAATTAATGGAGAATTGCAATTATTTAAACTAGATGATTTACAAAATGCTTTAAAATATCCAAATAATACTATTGAAGAATAAAACATAAATTCAATAGCTATATCTTTTGATTAAAATATTTTAATATCTGGACATCTTAATGGATAGATTACAATTTGGGATATATCTGATCTATAAAACATTAAAAAGATAATTAATACAAATGAAAACTAAAATAATGATGCTACAATAGTTGAGCTTTCAGAAAAAAGTCACTTATTAGCAACATCTTCAAATTAAGCTGTTAAAATATGGCATATTGATTAATCATTAAATATTAAACAAAAATTATGGATAGAGTAATTTGATTAACCATTATAAATGGTTTTTTCTATTTCTGGTGATGTTTTCACTTTAAGAATGAAAAATTATATCACTATTTACAATAAGTAATATCCATTAAAATAAGACAAAAATAAAAAAATAATAAAAATTCCATAAGAATAAATTGATTGTGCTGCCATATCTCCTAATAGTAAAATGATGGCAACATTTAGTTTAAATTTTTTATCAATATGGAATATTGAATCTTTTGATAATATTTTTAAAATAAAAGAATTTGAATTTTAAAATAGATAGATTCTTTTTGTTTTATCTTTTTCACCTGATGGCAATTATTTAGCAGCAAATGGTGATAATAAAATATTTATATGGAATACAAAAGATTTTAATCTAATAAGAGAAACAAATTTAATTTAAAATGCTTAAAAAGAATACTTTTAAGGTATTATATTTTCATCTGATTCAAAATTTTTGATATTTTACTATGATAATTATTTAATGTATTTAGAAATTTCTAAAAAAGGATAGAGATTATTTTAATTAGGTATTACATTAAATAATGTATGCATGACCAAAAATGATGAATTAACATTTTGTTGTACTAATTAAAAAATTGAAATATGGAATTTTCATACTTTTAGTATTATGAAAGTTTTGGTCTTTTAAAATATATAAGAAAATGATGTTTTAATTACTTTTAGTTTATCTGATGACGATCAAGAAATGATTTGTATTTTTTAATCATCAAATTAAATAAGATTCGAAATTTATTAATTAAATGGTTCTCTTGAACATACTCTGAAAAAAAGTTAAAGTTTGATGATTGAAAAAACAATACAAAATCTATTAATTACTCATATCGAAGGAGGAATCTTTGTAGATTATTTAAATTATATATTAGATAGTGTTTTTATGCCTTTTGAGATAAAGATAACAATAGCAGGATAAGCTGCATTTTAAATTACTAAAAATAAAGAGTTTTGTTTAATTCAAAATAATAAAAGTTGTTTAATTAAAGTTTTTGAATAAAATAAATGTATATTATTTTATGAATCTGAAGACTTAGCTATATCTAAGAATGAAGATTTATTAGCTGTAGCTACTGATTAGGCATTATTAATAAATCTTTAAACTCAAAAAATAGTATATTCAAACCAATAAAAAGATTTTAAATGTATTTGTATATGTTTTTCATAAAACAATGAACTTTTAGGAATGGGTTTTTCATCTCAAAAAATTTTAATATATTAAATTGATGATATTGATAGAATTGTAGAAAAATATACTATTCTTTGCAATTCTGATCCAATCTGTATAAGGTTTTCAACTGATTCAAATTATCTTTTTGTCAACTAAGTTAATAATATTAATTATTTTGACCTTAAAAATGAATAAAATTTTAAAGTTTTATTGACAAATTAATCTCAAGCTTTTGGTAAGTAATTCGTATTAGAAAAATAATAAAAAAATCTTTTTTGCATTTAAGATAATAAGATTTGTCTTTTAGAAGTTGAAAAAGATTCAAAGATATCATGGATTGAACGTTTAAAGTAAAGAGATATTATTTGTTGTCATTTTTCAGCTGTCTAACCGAAAATATTAATAATAGGTAGTTTTTATTAACAATAAATTATACTTTAAAAATTTGACATAGAAAGTAAAATATTAGTTGAAAATATTGAAATTGATATTGAATATAATTGTTACGGTGATATTCTGTTTAATAGGGAAGAGACTTAGATAATTATTTCTTAAGGATAAATACTAAGATTATAAGATATTAAAGATAAAAATAAATATCTTTTTTCAGATAAAAATAATTCAAATATAAAAAGTTTTAAATTTTCGACAGAATGTTAACTTATCATTTCAAAAGATGCCAACTAAAATTTACAATTGTGGGACATAAAAACTTTCAAATTATTAGCAGTATTAAATAATTATCCATTTGTAATTTCAAATTTTGCTATAACATAAAAAGGGACTTTGATCTATTCATTTGATCAAATGATTAAGATCTGGAATATTTAAGATTTAAAACAATAGTATTCAACAGGAAATGGTCATAAAGGAGAAATTAAATATTTAAGAGTATCAAATGATGGAAAGGTTTTATTATCATATTCAAAATCTAAAGATTTATTCAAATGGAATTTAAATAGTCTTAAGGAAATAGAGAATAAATCTATAGAATTAATTGATAGTCCATGTTTTTCACATGATGATAATTACACATTATTAAGGCTTGATAATAAAGATTGTTTGATAGAAAAGAATAATATTTTTAATAGTAAATCTTTTAAATACCGTATAGGATTTACTTAATGTATCAATCTCTAATTATATCTTCCTTCAAATATTTTATATAGTAGTCATAAAGATAAATCTCTTATAGTTTGGAACTTTGATGTATTATATAATTATAAACCAAAAGATAAAGAATAATTAAAATGTAAAAAATCTAAAATTATCATCTCACCAGATTGTAAATACTTAGTAAATATGGATGAAGGATTATTTAATATAAATGATAATAAATTGACTAAATTTTAATTTGATGATATTATTTAAAGTCATTGTATGGTGTTCTCAAAAGATTCTAATTATTTAGCAATAGAAACTGTTGATAATAAAATATAAATTTTATCATTAAAAACAAAAACTAAAACAGTTATTTAAATGTAAGAAAGAATTAGAAGTGATGCCATGATATTTTCAAGTGATAATGAATATTTTTTTTCTTTTTCATCAAATTTCATTCAAATTTGGAATTGGAAAAATGAACAACAACCATCTTAGGTTTTCCCATTAGAAAAATAATTTACTGAAGAATAAGTACTTTTAGGAGTTGTAGAAAATTAAAAGAATGAGATTAGTCTTATATTTTTTTTTCCGAAACTAAACTCTTTATAAATTTCAATTATTTAAAGTCAACCTTATTTTGCTTAAGTAAAATCATTCAAAAGATAGATTAATAAAAAAGTAGGAAATTTATTAGATCATGTACAATTAGAGTACTGTATGCAAACTAATATTTTGGCTATTTAAAACTTATAAAACATTTTATTAATAAACTTTTAAAATGATATAGACTACCCTTTATTAGAAGGATCAAATGTAGAATCTTAATATACCTCATAATTATCTTTCACCTCTGATGGTAAATTTCTTGCTTCAATAGCTTTGGATGATACTATAAGATGTTGGGATTTATCAAATCAAAAGCAATTTAAACTTTTTGTATTTTCTAAATAATATTAGTAATTAATTGCATTAAAATTTATTAATAATCAATAGATAATTATGGTAACTAATCTTTTAAATATAATAATAATTAATATTCAAGAATTTAAAGAAATGGCTAAAATATCATTAAAAAAATATTATATAGAAGAGTTTTTTTTTAATAAAAATAAAATATTATATGGGCTTACAAAATATACTTAAAAAGATTTATTATTACTTTTAAAAATTGATTCAGATGAAATTATTCATCAGTTTAAGTATAATATTGATTATCTTGAATTTATTGATGAACATTAATTCTTGTATCTTGAAAAAGGTTAAATTATACTTGTTGAAATTGGCAAATTATAGAATTCTTAAAGTTAATTTTTAATTCAAGAAGGTGTAAAACGTTTTTTCGTTTCGAATGATAAATAATTAATTGCTACAACTAATTCAAAATAATTAAGTTTATGGAATATAAAAACCAAAGAAGAAAAGTTAAATATGGATAAATTTGATTGTGAGATTATGGAAATATGTATAACTAATTGTAAAGATAAATTGATATTAGGAATGAACGATGGTTCTATTTAAGTTTATAATATACATGAATAATTGTTAAATTAGTAAATTAACCCAGTGTGCATTAAAGTATTTTCTAAAGGTCCACCTCTTATGGCTTTAAATTCTTAGATCACAGGATGTTCAATTAAAACTAAAGATAAAGATTTGGAGTAATTTTTTTTATAAAAAGGAGCTATTAAAAAATGATGAATTAATTATCTATATCATACCTTAAAATCATATTATAAATTAATAAAAACTCTATTATTAAATTAATTTATTTTAATTCAGCTTGAATTTTATAGATTAGGATATAAAATAAAAATGGCTATTTATCTTTATTAAAAGATATTTTATATTTAAAATAAATATAGATCATTTATCTTAAATTTTATAATCACTCTTTTTCTCTAATTAGACCTTTCAGCTTCTTTATTTAATAGTTATCAATTTTAAAACTTTCTTTTTTAATATTCTGAATATTTAGATTAAAAAACCAAGTGTAAATAATTAAAGTAGTTAATTAAAAATAAAATGGTTACTATGAAATTATTTATATTTACTAACTTAGAAAACTATAATAGAGTTTTTGTCTAATGAGATAATGTTTGTTGTATATATCAAATAATTGCGTTTAACATATGCCAATAAATCAAAACAAAATTATTTTCCTTCAATTATTCTATTTAATCTAAAATATCTTTAGATTTTTCTTTAAAAATCTCAATAATAAAGATTAATTTTATGAATGAGATGTAATTCAGAATATTAAATTATTTAAATGATAGAGAAAAAGAGTACAATTCTTTGATAAATGAAAATTGGTTAAAAAATTACATAGTTTATTATGATTGTGCTTCCTATTAAGATTAATATATTGAAATTTTACTCTAGATTCAATTATTTTCAATGAATAAAGAATAATCATGATAAAAAATGAATTAGTAAATAAAAAATTATTATAAAATCTGTACTTTCCTTTTTAAATCTATAAATTGCTTCAAACATCTTAAGGATCATTCTTAAAAAAAAAAGCAATATTAGATATTTAATAATGAGAATAACAATAAAAGTTTCTTTAGTCGTAAGAAAAATTTCAAAATAAGATAATGGAACGAAAATACTTAAAAAAATTGGAAGTAAAAGAAATCTAAAGCTTTTTTAATACTTTAAACTTGGTACAATATATCATTTTACCAAGTTTTTAAATAATAAATATATCTATTAAACAAATTTATTAATGATTCAAAAGAATTAAGTTGTTAATAAATTTAATAGGCCACAATCTTTGGATGATTTATGTTAAATATTCAGTTATAAATGATTATAGGATTAGAATTTGTTAATCTATCAACTTAAAAATTATTGTTCATGTATTAGGTTTTCGTATAACCAAAGTCAACTATAAAAAAATTAAATCTAAATTTCTGATTCTGAACAATTATTATAAGTTTATATTATCCTAGCTTAATATTAAGGAAAAAAATAGACTGAAGGTTTCAAAGAATAACAAAATTCTTTTAATCATGAAGCAAATTTTTTGATTTTTATTACAGTTCTTATATAATTAACAAATTTTAAGGAGTAATCTTAAATGCGCATATGAAATGAAATTTGATATAGTTAATTGTACATTATAAATGAATAATGGTTCTATGTCTAAATAATCTAATAGATTTACTTTAAATAAATAATTTTTAATTAATTTAATAAAGTTATTGATGTTTTTTTAAGATATAATAATTTGTGAAAGATTAAATATTTTTTCTATCATTTCTAATTCAAAATCTATTTAATTGTTAATTTAGTAATCAATTTATTTTTTAGATCATACGCTATATAATTTGATTAGTTTAAGAAGAAGAGAAGCTGTGAATGAAATGAACAACCTTTTTCTCTTATTAATGATTATTGCATGATATGATTTTTATTTTTATTCCTCAATATTCTGTATTTTATTGTTGCTTATAAAATGATATAGAGATAGAAAAATGACAATTATTAATAAGAAGTATAAAATAGAATTACTATGTTGAAGTATAAAATAGAATTACTATGTTGTTCAACTTCGTTCTTAGAAATTTAATTAAAATATTTATTAAAAGGAATTTAATCAAAATATCTTATTATAAAAATGAATTAATTACAATCATTCAGTTAAAAAATAATAATGTATAAAGATTCATTAAAATAAGTGCTAGAACGATTTAATACTAATTTTTTTATGATGAAATAAATCTTCATTATATATTACTAAAATATAATTATGGTATAATAATGAAATTATTTTTTGTATTTAGAGTCATAATTATTTTTTCATATTGATTAATAATTATTTTAAAATTTTTATCGATATATTTAAATATTACTTAAAAATAAACTAACATGTACATATTCTCAGTAAGAATATTTGAGAAATCTCAAATTTAACTATTTTTAATAATCCTTTTAATATTGATGAATAAAGTAAAAATTCTATTAATTATTGATATTCAACGCCTTATTCTATTTCCTTCCTTTATACTTATTTAAAAGTATTTTTATTAATTCTAATTTAAAGTCATATCATGTATTAAAATTTATTTTACAACTTATTGAGTTAATTGAGCAAAGATAAAAAATATCATAGATAAAACTATTATTAAATTCATAAATTTTAAATAAAAATTGGAGAATTTCAATCTTAAATAAATTTAATAATTTTAATATTTATTTTAGAGCTGCTCTATGGTTAGAAAAGTAGATATTAAATGTAAATAAATTCATTATAGTTGTATTTTAACTAAATTAACGAAAATAAAAAAGTCCTTATTTTTAAAACTAATATATTTTTATGTTAATTTATTTTAGTCAAAAGGAATCTTCTTCTTAGGAATATTACTTTGGCTCTTGAGTTCTAATTTAATTGCTTGAATATTTGGTAGAGGAATCTTTTTTTACTCCTTTTAGTGAGCTTCGTATGGAGTAGGGATACTTTAGTTTCTATTTTGAGTGTTTTAACATTTTATCAACTGTTAACTAATAACAATTTCTTAATAAAATATTANGTTTAAGAAGAAGAGAAGCTGTGAATGAAATGAACAACCTTTTTCTCTTATTAATGATTATTGCATGATATGATTTTTATTTTTATTCCTCAATATTCTGTATTTTATTGTTGCTTATAAAATGATATAGAGATAGAAAAATGACAATTATTAATAAGAAGTATAAAATAGAATTACTATGTTGAAGTATAAAATAGAATTACTATGTTGTTCAACTTCGTTCTTAGAAATTTAATTAAAATATTTATTAAAAGGAATTTAATCAAAATATCTTATTATAAAAATGAATTAATTACAATCATTCAGTTAAAAAATAATAATGTATAAAGATTCATTAAAATAAGTGCTAGAACGATTTAATACTAATTTTTTTATGATGAAATAAATCTTCATTATATATTACTAAAATATAATTATGGTATAATAATGAAATTATTTTTTGTATTTAGAGTCATAATTATTTTTTCATATTGATTAATAATTATTTTAAAATTTTTATCGATATATTTAAATATTACTTAAAAATAAACTAACATGTACATATTCTCAGTAAGAATATTTGAGAAATCTCAAATTTAACTATTTTTAATAATCCTTTTAATATTGATGAATAAAGTAAAAATTCTATTAATTATTGATATTCAACGCCTTATTCTATTTCCTTCCTTTATACTTATTTAAAAGTATTTTTATTAATTCTAATTTAAAGTCATATCATGTATTAAAATTTATTTTACAACTTATTGAGTTAATTGAGCAAAGATAAAAAATATCATAGATAAAACTATTATTAAATTCATAAATTTTAAATAAAAATTGGAGAATTTCAATCTTAAATAAATTTAATAATTTTAATATTTATTTTAGAGCTGCTCTATGGTTAGAAAAGTAGATATTAAATGTAAATAAATTCATTATAGTTGTATTTTAACTAAATTAACGAAAATAAAAAAGTCCTTATTTTTAAAACTAATATATTTTTATGTTAATTTATTTTAGTCAAAAGGAATCTTCTTCTTAGGAATATTACTTTGGCTCTTGAGTTCTAATTTAATTGCTTGAATATTTGGTAGAGGAATCTTTTTTTACTCCTTTTAGTGAGCTTCGTATGGAGTAGGGATACTTTAGTTTCTATTTTGAGTGTTTTAACATTTTATCAACTGTTAACTAATAACAATTTCTTAATAAAATATTATATCTATTATCTTAATAAATTTAATTGAATATGTAATATTTTAGATTAGAGATTCTATCTTAAATATTTAATATTTGTTTAATAGATCTTATTTTAATAGACATCCAGTTCTTTAAATTTTATTAAAATATAATATCCTTTATTGATTTTCTTATATTAATCTTTAATTGTTTGTATTAATCTTTTGAACAAAATAATTAATGATCTATTGTATTTACTTTCTCTTCTAACTAGAATAATTTTTTATTGTTAAATCTATTAGTTGACGTAATGTCATAATTATTTTGATTAAATTAACTATCTTATGATGTTACAATTTCAAATTAAAACAATGAAAACATAAAAATAAAAAATAAAATTAACAAATTAAAAACTGTTAATTTTTGGGGTGTCTCCAAATCCTAGATACCTGGTCAAAATGCTGATAGCCACATCTCTAGTGACATACGATCATGTTTTGAGATGTGATACTAAGGGAATTGAGCCAGTTAAGGCGTAAGCATGATGTATATTCTCTTGGCTTGGCTTGAAAATAAGAAATAATGTTGGAATATCTTCCTATATTAAAAACATATGCATGAAACGACTCTGCATAATAATATAATGTTGCAAAAACTATATTATAATTAGAAATTGATAATTATTTCGTAGATAAATAAAAAGAGAAATATATTTCTTTTTCATAGCTAATTATATATTCAATATTTTAAAAAGCAATTAAACTTAAAAAATTTTTAGGTAACAAGAAATTTAGTAAGACTAATAATAAACTTATTGTAAATGGTCAAAAAAGTTAAGTTACTTGTTACATAAAATATATTTATTATATATACAAAAATAGTTTAACTAACAACTATCAAGATTTGATTAAAATTTAATAGAGATTAATATAAAATTTCTAATAATTTAATTTTATTTGCAAAATATAGTATTTAATTAATATTTTTTTTAAATGTATTTTTAAAATGCAAGTCTTTAAAGTGATTTATAATCAACCGATTGGAGAGAATAAACTTTTGAATAGGAGGTTGAATAGTGGGATTTTATTAAAAACAAGTTAGTGAAAATACAAATTCAAATAAATTTTACTAAAAATCACTAAATTGTATATTTAAAAGATGGAGCAATAATGAGAATGTATATGTTTTGTAAGTTAAAAAAGTGAATAAATTCAAGATACCATCAAGAAGCCAGAAATATTAAAGAATCTGGATCAAATCCAATAACTTACATGGTAAGGTTAATATGGGTTGAACAAAAAGAAAAATGGAAAATGGATAGCATTTTGGGATGGAGAAGTTTATATGAAAGTTGGAGGATACTATTTAGAGGGATTAAAGCAAGGTTAATGGAAAGAAATATTTGAAAATTATATTTATACAAATGATAGTAAAGCTAAGGTTTTGTAAATTGGAGAATACTCTTCAGGACTAAAAAAGGGTAAATGGAATTATATTTAAGACTCAATTAAAATGTATGTAGTTAAATAATTATTTAGTGCAGGTGGATATTATAATGAGCAAGAATAAAAAATTGGAAAGTGGATAGAATTGAGGGAGGGCTTTTAGGAGAATTCTTAAATTACTTTCTATGGTGAATATAATATGAAAGGTATAAAGATAGGGAGATGGGATTTCATATTTAAGAAGAATTAGGAATATAAATTAATGTAAAAATTATTAAAATAAGGTAANTTTTGAGATGTGATACTAAGGGAATTGAGCCAGTTAAGGCGTAAGCATGATGTATATTCTCTTGGCTTGGCTTGAAAATAAGAAATAATGTTGGAATATCTTCCTATATTAAAAACATATGCATGAAACGACTCTGCATAATAATATAATGTTGCAAAAACTATATTATAATTAGAAATTGATAATTATTTCGTAGATAAATAAAAAGAGAAATATATTTCTTTTTCATAGCTAATTATATATTCAATATTTTAAAAAGCAATTAAACTTAAAAAATTTTTAGGTAACAAGAAATTTAGTAAGACTAATAATAAACTTATTGTAAATGGTCAAAAAAGTTAAGTTACTTGTTACATAAAATATATTTATTATATATACAAAAATAGTTTAACTAACAACTATCAAGATTTGATTAAAATTTAATAGAGATTAATATAAAATTTCTAATAATTTAATTTTATTTGCAAAATATAGTATTTAATTAATATTTTTTTTAAATGTATTTTTAAAATGCAAGTCTTTAAAGTGATTTATAATCAACCGATTGGAGAGAATAAACTTTTGAATAGGAGGTTGAATAGTGGGATTTTATTAAAAACAAGTTAGTGAAAATACAAATTCAAATAAATTTTACTAAAAATCACTAAATTGTATATTTAAAAGATGGAGCAATAATGAGAATGTATATGTTTTGTAAGTTAAAAAAGTGAATAAATTCAAGATACCATCAAGAAGCCAGAAATATTAAAGAATCTGGATCAAATCCAATAACTTACATGGTAAGGTTAATATGGGTTGAACAAAAAGAAAAATGGAAAATGGATAGCATTTTGGGATGGAGAAGTTTATATGAAAGTTGGAGGATACTATTTAGAGGGATTAAAGCAAGGTTAATGGAAAGAAATATTTGAAAATTATATTTATACAAATGATAGTAAAGCTAAGGTTTTGTAAATTGGAGAATACTCTTCAGGACTAAAAAAGGGTAAATGGAATTATATTTAAGACTCAATTAAAATGTATGTAGTTAAATAATTATTTAGTGCAGGTGGATATTATAATGAGCAAGAATAAAAAATTGGAAAGTGGATAGAATTGAGGGAGGGCTTTTAGGAGAATTCTTAAATTACTTTCTATGGTGAATATAATATGAAAGGTATAAAGATAGGGAGATGGGATTTCATATTTAAGAAGAATTAGGAATATAAATTAATGTAAAAATTATTAAAATAAGGTAATAATATATTAGCGGTGGGGGATTATATGGGGATGAAGGATAGAATAAAATTGGGAGATGGATAGAGTTAGATGAAGGATTTTGTTAGTTGAAATAAGTCATTTATGAAGGTGTGTATACTAAAATGGGCAAAAAAGTAAGTAGATGGGATATTAGTTATTAAGATCTTTATGGAAATAAAACATACAAATTAATGTAAATATTTTAATTATAAGGCTACAATTTATAAGTGGTGGAGGAGTTTATGAAGAGGATGGATAGAATAAAGTTGGGAGATGGGTTGAGCTAGTTGAAGGATTTTGTAAGTTGAAATAAGTTACTTACAATGGTATGTATAATAAAAGTGGTATGAAGGTAGGTAGATGGGATATCAAGATTTTAAGAACAGAAAATGCTGGATATAAATAAATGTGAAAATAATAGATTAATTATAATAATTTTTTAGTGGTGGTGGGTCATATACCAAAGATGGTTTAATAAAGATTGGTAAATGGATAGAGTTGGATGAAAGGTTCGATTATTTCAAATAAGTTACTTATACAGGTGAATATAATATAAAGGGTTTGAAGGTTGGAAAATGGGACATTAATCATTGTTTGAATAATGATGATTTTTATAAGTAGATGTAAATATTATAATAAAATTTTAGTGGAGGAGGATTATATGATTCAAAAGAGGGTTAGAAAAAGATTGGAAGATGGGTGGAGTTAGATAAAGAATTTACTAGGTCTACTTTCCATTCAAAATAGGTCATTTATATTGGCGAATATAACAAAATGGGTTTAAAGGTTGGAGATTGGGATATTTATTATTGTTAGGATTATGATAAAGAATATAATAAGATGTAAATATTTTATAAGAATAGTAATAATATGTTAGTGGTGGAGGATCATATGATTTAGAAGATGGTGAAAAAAAGATCGGGAGATGGGTAGAATTGGATTTAGAGTTTAAAACACCAAAATAAGTCACATATATTGGTGAATATAATACGAAGGGTATGAAAGTTGGTAGATGGGATACATGGTTTAACTGTAATAGAAATAATAAATTAATGTAAATATTATTTGTATAAAATAAATAGAGGTGGAGGATCATATGCGGTTGAGGGTTGGAAAAAGATAGGAAAATGGGTAGAGCTGGATGAAAAGTTTGATTCAACGTAATAAATCACTTTTATTGGTGATTATGATGTAAAGGGTATGAAAGTAGGTAGATGGGATATATGGTTTAACTGTAATGGAAATAATAAATAAATGTAAATTATTTTTATATAAATTAAATAGTGGCGGTGGATCATTTGCAGAAGATGGTTTTAAAAAGATTGGAAAATGGACCGAATTAGTGAAATGGTTTAATCCAATTGAATAAGTCACTTTAAATGGCGAATACAATATGAAAGGCATAAAGATAGGCATATGGATATAAATGGATTTAAAAAAAGCAGTTTAAGTTAAAAAAGAAATTTAATATAATTGAAAAATCAGTAATAATCGTCTATTTAAAAAATATAGTAATTGCAAATTATTTTATGAATCTTATGCATTTTATAGAAATATTACAAAGTATTACAACTCACAAGTATTATTTTTTAAATTCTATTATAATTTTTGATAATCTTACAAATCCAATCATTAAGATAATTTAATTACTTATTTTTTCATGTACTACATTTAGATCAAAAAAATATAATACTTTAAAGGCTAAATATTCACTAGATTGCAAAATTAATTGAAGAATTTATAGATATAGAGATGATCTAAAGAAAAAATAATCAAAATTGTTGACTTTTTGTGTAGTTTTATTATTTAAATATACAATAGGATTAAAGTTGTAAAGAAGATGGATTACGCATGGAATATAGATGTTAAGAACAAAAAGAATTCAATAAAAATACCAGTCATATTAATTGGTGTATTTTAATCTGTCACTTATCAAAATGGTCTTTTTTATTTAAATATAATATATTTAAGTTTAAAATATATTTACTTATATTTTTTAAGTTATTTGATTGTTGTTAGGATATGAATTGTGCATTTTACCAAATTTTAATGATGATGTAAATGAAAAAATCTACTTTTTAAAGTGTCTAATGGTATTTTTATTAATTGATTCAAGTTGGAAATACCTGATGGAAAATTGAAAATAATACTTAGATACATATGTCACTAGATAAACTTTAAATGATTTTTTTTATGGGGAAAGAAAAAATGGAAGGAAAATAAGTAAAAAAACATAGTAGTAAGATTAATTAAATCAATGTTATTATATATTTATTTTTTGTATATTTTATAATCATTTAAATAACAATTTAGAAATTATAATTAACGAAAATACATATAAAATAATGATTATTTTTATCTATTTTATAGATAAATTAAAAGATTTATGTCATTAGAAGATTTAGTATAGAAATTATTGCAAAATTTATAAATTCTTGGAGTTCATATCATTAAAAAAATACTTATCTTTGATTCAAAAATTAGTTAAAGTTCCTCTTATCATTATTTCAAAGTTTATAAAATCTTTATATATTCTAAAAAAATTAATACTCGAAACTTTTAGGGCTGAAGTATTGATTAATTAAACTCATTAAGAGAAATATTAATTATTAATTTAGAATTTCAAAAAGGCTTAAATATATCACTTGATTATTCTAAATCGATGGGAATTAAGTTGGCTATAAAACATTAGTATCAAATTCAAGAAGACTAACAGAAATAATAATGACTTAATAATAAGAAATACAGAAACTTGAGAAAAAAATGATTAAGGATTAATTAATAAATAAATTCTTCTTTTGTGTTAGAAGACTAAATTTTCCTATAATTCAATAACTAGGATACCAAAAAATTTTGATTCATTAAAATAAATGAATAAACATTGACACTTTTTAAATCCAAACTATGAAGAAAGCTCAATTCATTTTAAAAATAATCTACAATATATAAATAGGATTTTATTTCCTAAAAATAATCAATTTTCAGTTTTATTTAAAATCATATTCTTTTATTGCTATTCAACTTTTTCAATTTAGTAGTAGAACGATAATTAATTTTAAAAAATCCTATATCATATTACAAGAACATTGGTAACATAATAATCTCTTATTTTTCTTTAATTCTGAATCTCAACTAACTTTTTATTATTAGTATATCTTTTTAATCATCATATTTATACTATTTGGAAGATTAGGATTGCTTATAAAATAAATAACTTTTATAGCTTTGTTAGCTGTATGATATTTTTTAATTGCTTTTATTTATTTAATAATATTTTTTATTGTCTTAAAGCGACTGTTTTGCTTCTTTTTACGATATTTTAACTAATTCTTCTAAGATTTAATTCTTAGTATATTCCGCTTTTATTGGTAGTCTTGTTTTAATTAATTGTAGTAAATATTTCATAAGTAAGTAGTGTGATCGAAATAAATTATATTGGATATTTCCTTTAGTAATTAAATTCTCTTATTTATGTTAATTTATTATATAATAACATAATACTACTCTTCCAAACTATTTGTGATAATCTTTTCTGTTCTCTTGCATGATTTGATTATTATTTATTTATTTATATAATTATACCCCCAACTTTTTAATTTAATTTTATCTTCAATGATAAGTTTTGAACTGTATAAAATCATAATAATATTGTCTTATAATTCTATAACTATTCTTAAATTAGAAATTTGAAATGAGTAAATTTGTTATTATTTTAATTAATTGATTCCATTTATTTTTGTTTAAACTAGTTAAGAATATAAGATTGGAAATCGGCAAAGATATTTTAAAAACTTTTTCATCATTATAATTTTATTAAGATAGTAACTTATTTTACAATTATGCTCAGTTTCTCCTATTTGGAAAGCTAACTTTCCTTATTGGAGTTAACTTTTAGAATTAAAATTGGAATTTTATCTTTTAAACAAGCTCTCTTTGTAAATTTGTTCTAAAATCCATGGGCATTTATTTATTTTAATAATTTGCTTAATTTTTACAATACCAATCTGCTAAAATCACTAATTTATCCAATTAAATCTAAGAATAATTATATTTCAGAGCTTCAAAAATTTTTCAATATATTTTTATGATAGATGATGTGCTACTTGTTATTTATTTATTGTTCTATTTAAGATAGCAGACTTATAAACTATTATATGCATTGAAGTCCATTTTCGTTATTAGCTACATAATATATTCTAAACGGTTAAGAACATTACCATTTATATCAAATTCTATCAAAAATTCCCTTAATTGAATAGAATTAGTCCTTAAATAATGTATTATCATGAAGGTATTTATATTAAATTTAATTGAATTTCCTTAAAATTAATAATAATTCTTGAGATCGATATTTTAAATTTTCTCTTAATCAAAAATAAACAACTTTATAAGAAAATCCACCTTTTTTGTGTTAGCAAAATGAATTCTTATAATAATGCAATAATTTAATGCAGTTATTTTTTAATTTCAATATTGAGAAAAATGATAACATTAAAAAAAAACGTAACAAAACCTTGAATTGGAGTAGAAAACTTCCATTTTGCTTTATTACTTGCAATTTTAATAGAGAGTAGAGTTTTCAATTCTAAAGATATACAAGTTTGATAATTTTTTAAATTAAAAAATCTCTATTTCTTACCATCTAAATTCTGGTTTTATATTTTTTTAAACAATTTTTAAGATTTTCTATTCCGTGGTAAAATAATTAAATTAAAATATTTTTAAATAATCTGATCATTTTCATTTTCATCTTCAAATTAAAATTAATATTTTATATATGCTTAAAAATAAGAATTAAATAACGAAACTCTTTATAATTAAATTGATAATAAAAAAATTAAATGGACATCAGAAGATGAATCAACTTTGAGAATGTATGTATTAATATTAAAAGTGATAAAAATTAAGATGTGAAAAAAGATTAGAAATAATGATGAATTTAGAACAAATAGAAAATCTTTATTGGATAGGAAATAATTAATTAAAAGAAGGTAAGCAGAGAGCAACTTGAAAAAAAACCTTTATATTCTGTCGGTGAATATTAAAATAGTATAAAAATAAAAAAAATATTATACTCTCAAGCTAAATTAAAAGATTTTAATCAAAAAGATTTGAGTAAAAATTACTTTTAGCAAATTTTAAAATCAATAGTAAAAGATATTGTTTAATCATTTTACATTAAATCTTATTTCACTTAATTATTGATATCAAAATTTGTTAGTTTTCAAAAAGAACATACATTTTTAATAGCAAAGATAATAATATTTTTTTCTAAAAAAACCAAATGTAACTTATTGATCAATTAAATGAGATATATAATTTAATTTTAAGGAACATTCAATGATTTAAATTTCAAATTAATAAAATTGTATTTTTAAGTATATTTCTTATTTATTCTGAATTCATAAGTTATAAGCAAGGTTTTTAGCCACAACTTGTCCTTAAGAATGATGGGGATTAAGAAAATATTGTATTAATTAAAGTTTTAATATTTGTAATTTGTTGTACTACACAAAAATTATTTGGAATTTTTATCATACCAATTTTGAAAACAAATTTGAAATTGAAGTTGTATTTAGTTTCTAACTATTTAAATAAATAAACTATAAATAAGCATTTTTTAGAATAATAAAGTTAATAGAAATTGTCTAATAAAAAATTTATACAGGTAATTAACAACTTAATCATTAATAATAGCACATTTCAAATTTTACCTTAGATTTGTTAAAATTCATTTAAAAAAAATAACAAAATAATTATATATTTCACATAACTTTCTTCATATTATTAATTGAAAATTATTATTACACTATGAACTCTTTAGTCAAAGGAATATACCTTTTATTAATATCGGAAACTCTTCTACGAGGGGCTTATGAATAAATTATAAGAAGGCGTTTTTAATTATTTGAGAAATATGAACAATTATATACTATTATTGATTTGATCATTTTTAGATTGTTCTCTTAAATTTTCAAATAAAAGAAATATTAAACTCTCAGTAAGTTGATCAAATCATGGAGCCTTTAAACAAGAAACAAATTAAGAGTCAGAAAAATATAAAAGCTAATATTTATGTTTAATTTTAATTAATTAATTTAAAAAAATATGTTTTAACCAAAAATGATAGAATTAGAAAAATAGCTGAATTGTAGTTAAAACCATAATGAAGCAATACATATGGTTGTATTTGATAAAAAGTTAAAGAGATAGGAACGTCTTTTGTGTAATATTTGTATGGAAACATTTGAATCAGACTCAAAAACAATTGGATTTAAAAAAGTAATTGAGATGATAGAATATAATTAAAAAAATAAAGTAGAAAATATCTAAAGATTGATCAAAATAGATGTTGAATTAGTTGAATAGTTGTTGAATGAATTTCATATAATAAAATAAAAGCTTAACTAAGAATTAGATTAATTGATATTTAATTCATTAGAATGGATTAAAAGTCTTAATGATATTGGAACTATTAATTCATAATATAGTTTCTTTGATGAATTAGAAGTATTAATTAATAATCCTTAACAAAATATATTCAATTCACAATAATTGATTGAGTCAATTACAAAACTTAACAATTCACTTTTTAATAAAATTAATTAAAAGTTATCTACACTTAAAAACATACAACTCTATTCATAATCTGAATTAATCTTATAAAATTTGGATTTATCCCATCATTACAAAATAATTGATAATTCAATTAGATAATCAGTTTCTTGTTTTGCAATCTCTTTTAATTAATCTGGATCACTTATGATTTCTGCTTCTAATCATAATATTAAAGTATGGGAATTTATGCAAGGAAGATTAAAAGAAATAACTACACTTAATGGACACACTGAAACAATCAGTTGTCTATAATTTAGTAAGAAGAGTAATAGTTTTGTATCAGGTGGATATGATAATTCAATTCGATGTTGGAAATAGATAAATGAAAAAGAATGGCAGAGTTCTTAATCATATTAACAGCATACTAATTTTATAAATTGTTTAATCTTTAATCAATCTGAAAATTAACTTGTTTCTGGAGCAGTTGATTATTCAATTAAGATTTGGTAAATTGATTTCATTAACAATCAATTAACTTATCTTTACTCATTAAATAAGCATACAAATTCTATTTATAGTTTATGCTTTAATTAATTAGAAAATACATTGGTTTCTTGTGGTGGTGATAATTAAATAATTATTTGGAAATAAGATAATAATTAGAAATGGTAATTTGAGTATGTAGTTACTTAGAATATTTAAGAATCAGGATGCAGATTGTAATTTATAAATGATGATTAATTAATTTGGGTGACAGGAATTCAAGTAAGCAAGGATTGTATCAGCATATTTGAACTAAGAAATGGAAAATATCAAGAAAACTTGGATAAATAACTATAATTGATTAAAAATGATAATGTTTCTGATCTGAATTTATTTCCTATTTTTTATAATAAAGAAAAGAAATTGATGATAGTTAAGCACAAATAACACGTTTATTTGATAAAAATAACAAACGAAGGCTATTTAAAAATAATTACATAGATAAAATATGAATCAAATTCTATTTAAGGAGCATTAAGTAATGACGGAAGATATTTAGTAAGGGTTTGGGGTTGGGTTGGGGTTGGGTTTGGGGTTGGCTGGGAAGTACCTCTCTTGTGTACTTAGTAGGGTCGGGCACGGGTTGACTTCGGGGGATAAACGACATCTTTTTGAGGG